CGAAAGAATTTGCTGCGCGAAAAAACAGATTCGAATTTGTATCAGTTTGCGCTAATAAATTCGCCTAGTGGAAAACGGGCTTATATGACTTATTTGTCGGCAAGCCAACAGTTAATTTAGAAACAATGAATCAAGATTGAAAGAAAACAATATAAGAATGCATGAGCCAAAGAAAAAACCCGCATACATAATTCAATTTGCATGCACAAATGAGAAATATGAAAAAAATACGTTGGACTCAGAAGTCAGGGCCGTGCTAGAATCTTAAGTGGGAGGCAAATATTCATGTAATATTCTTCTTTTGTCTGACTGATTTCTTTCAATAACAATGGTCCACTAGCGGAATAGAATAACTTATTATCAAAGTGGTAAGAAGGAAATAAATCAAGTCACACAGCTAAAGAGCATATACTCAAATTAGTATAATGGCCATGTTTGCATGGTCATATGTCATGTAGTACTGCAAATATATAGCCATTTGAAGTAGGCAATTTTTGTATACATCACATAACGGGCGAAAGTGAATAATTTAGTTTCACTCTTCCCACCATAATTCAAAAGAATACAACAATTACTAGCTTCGCATTGCTATATCTTCGGCACTTTAGAATAATATTTCGCAGCCAAACTTAAAAATGCAGCTTTCGCGTTTCTAAATATTTTTTAAAAACAGTATTCTTTGGACTCTTAGTAAAAATTGGACTAGAATACTAAAACACTACTGCTTTTTGGCATTTTGCTGTTTGTTAAACATGCTGACCAGCGTTTTTAATTTTCGTTGCTGATCAGCGTTTTGCGTTTTCATTCAAATTTAACTTAACATGTTCAATGAATATTTTTAACAGTTCAGTTTGCAATGTGCAATTAATTCTAAGAGATGAAGGGAGGGGAGAAGTTTTTGGCGAAAAATAGTCCTCATCTTAATATTAACGAACGAAAATTTTTATAAGGTGCGAAAAGTCCTGGATCTGCTCCTGATTTTGAATGAGTTCATATTACTGTGATCCCCGACCAGGCGCAAAGCTTGAGCGAGGGTTCTAATTCCGCTCGGAGTTTGCAAATTACACCCAGGTATTCTGACAGAAAATACCAGAATTTGTACGTAGAAATTCTATGTCATGGTCGGTGGACGGTCGACGGTGGACGTTTGACCGTTTTGCGCATGCGCGAGTAAAGACTGGTAATAAAAAATGTTTTAATTGGTTAACACAGAAAGTTTGTATTTCAATGAGAAAACTCTTTTGTGAAAGCGTATCATACACTTTGTGTAAAATAAAATGTGAAGAAACAGCAGCTGGTGCTTTTTCGTCTTTAGAGCGGTTGGTATTCTATAATCTCTTCGGGGGGTGATGGATTTGGAAAAAATGACGCAATATTTTTATTCAAGACTACATTCACACTAACGCCTTCAGGTAATATTGCTACCCGAAACTGCACGAATATTTTAAGAAATATTTGGTATACGGTATGGTTTTAGTTCAAAAAACGTATATCAGAACATCGGGATCAATATTTAATTATACGTCGTATGTGTGAAAATTTTTTTACACACACCAATTTTATTTTCTAAACTTAATTTAAATGGGAAATATAGTTACGTCATAAGGGATAGGTAAGATTGACGCGAAAATTGAAATTATGTAAGTATATAGACCTATAACCTATAAATGGAATATAATTATCTTTTTTACCACTTCTATCTTAAAGTGTATGTAAAATGAATGTTAATTAGGAAAAACTCGTTCCAGTATATGACATCCGCTCTCTAAAATATCATTGATCAACCAACTTCAATTGCAACAAGTCCACTAGTGATTCAACAGAAAACTTTCCAGGTATTTATGCGTTTGATTTCTCCTTGATTAATTGCCATCATAATCATTTATTGCATGGATTTTCACTATGGTATAAACAGTGATATTTGCTTGACGAAATTCGCTTTTATAAATTATATTCGCTAAAGAGTATGCATAAATCTCAATGGCATGAACACCAAAATCATATAGGCCCTTTGAATCCAAAACAAGTGTTATCATATCATAGCATACCATTTTCATAAGCCTAATAAAACGCCTTAAAAAGAACATAGGAATCCAAATTTGGCTAGGCTTGCATTTCGATATACTCTAATGGTCGCGATTGAACCCTTGATGAATTTATGAATAATTCTACGAAATATTATAGAAACCTTATGTCGTTGAGGGGAGCGATCAGATTGTTGAGACGATCGTTCCGGTGGGAGGGCAGTCGTTCGGATCTTTGAAATAGAGGTTCAAGTCGCTGAGATGCAGACTGATTGCAATGATGATGTTGGCTGATAATGTTTTGTTGTTGTTGTGGCCTATGATGCGGAACAGAACTCCGAGCAAGTGAAGTATGGTCAGGATCAAGAGGGTCCAAACTGTCAGTTTTATCGCCGGAACGACAGCTATTGCGGTTTCGATGTTGTAGGTGCTTGTCGGTGATAGGCTTGGGGGGATTGCTACAATCATCCGTAAGGTCGATTTGATGTTTAAAATTTGCTTCATCTTCGCAGCTGCCAGACTGTGACGGTCGAGTTTGACACTGTTGATCAAGGTCGACTGGTTTATTTACTAGAGTCGGCTGGTTGCCTTTTAATAGCCGACAACTGTCAAAAGGCTGGCTTTCTCATTTTACATGTCTGATAGCTTAGCGGTTAATTTCACTAGAGTGCTTTTAACTCCGTCTAGATCTTCAGTCAGAGCTTGATTTTGGTTTTTCAAAAGAGTATTTTCTTCAGTTAGGCGTTTATTTCAGTTCTAAAATTTTCCTAGTTTCATAATCAATCATGAGTTCATTTAGTACAATAGATGATTCGGATCTATGCTTTTCTAATCGATTGGTTAATACGTCCAGACGCTTTACAACATCAAGAAGGAGACCAGACTCCGAATGGTCACCTGAGCACTGGGTTATGTCCGCTAGGTTACCAGATTCAGCAACAGTATCTACCCCAGAATCAAGTAGCTCAGTATCTAACACTTTCAAGTCATACGGACCAAGCGGGAGATAACTAATCATGAACTCATTAATATTCCCTAGCGAAGGCATGTGCGTAGGAGTAGAGTTTACTTCGCCAAAACTAATACTCTCGTCACTGTTCGTTGTAATTGCCGCTATTTTTTCCAAGATTACTTTGTAATCTTCAACTGTAGAGCCACTCAACGTTAAGCTTTCGTTTTCGTACCGTCGGAATGATATCTCATCAGTCTTTAGCTGTTTACAGCCACCGCCAGGACGTGTTATCCAATTTCCCTTTATATTCAGCACCTCTGCCACAAAGCGTTGTAGCAGGGCGAAACCACCACGCCGAAACCACCACGCCTTTTGAATTTATCACTGTTGAGCATAACAAGCGGATTAGTTTTCGTAATTGATGTATTAGGATTAAAGTTTGTTATAGTTTTGTTAAAGATTGTTATAATACTTATATTTAGATCTAGAAATCACAATATATTAATAGATAAGCGGAGCCTAAGAATATACGTCTGAACTCATCAATGTCCGTAGTCCGTGGTCCGTGGTCCGTAATCCGTAGTCCGGGGTCCGTGTTTTCCACCAAGCCTTATATCTGTAACACATTTTGCGATTCTAAAGTTGTAACATTGGAAATGTTTAATCTAATGTTAAGCCAAATCCAATGCGATTGAACGAAATTCCGGCAAACGTTTCAAGGAACGGTATATCAAACGGATGAACGCTTTTGGAACAATTTTCGAACGTTTTTTGCTAAGCGTTCGAACGGGCAATTTCGAACGATGAACGATCTCGAAAATCGTCTCAGCGAACGCTTGAAGCGTTTGAACGGCAAACGAACGATATTTTTCAACCAACAATATAGAGACGTATGTTTTCCCATGGAAGGTCACATATATTGTGTAGTGGCTTCAGACTAGACAGTTTAAAGTTCGTCGATTGTTCAAATCAGTGGTCATTGTTTGAACAGACCTTCATAGCTTAGTCAAATTTAATTCGGGAAAATGTACGCAAATTCGCTAAAAACTCTCAAAGAGCTGTTTTGCCAACCTAGCGTGATTGCCAGAGCATATATTAACAAGTTGGTCGACGCGAGTAAGATCCAAAACAACGATAGAGAGAGTTTACAACAATTGTCCTTCGATGTCGCAAACTGCGCAGCAACGCTGAAGCAAGGGGAATCCATTCCAACCAGAGAAAGAAGAAACTGCTTCAATGTTACTTATGCTCCGAAAACCATCGCGTCCAACTGTAGACTGTCCAACCATCGCAAGTTGTTCCAGCGACGAAAGAATTCAGCACGCCAGAGACCAACGACTCTGTTACTCTTGTTTATATCGAGGTCATGTAACGAAAGATTGTAAGTCGAAGGAGAAATGTCGGGCACAGACGGATGCACGTATCTTCATCATCGTTTGCTTCTCGGAGGATCCTTACCAAGACAAAGCTATGGATCTCACCCCTCAACGGGAGCGAATCATATACCCAGTCGAAGCACACGAAATCGACCACACGATTATCAACGTCCCAGCCTTCGACCGAAACTGGTTAAAGTGATTTGACCACCTCAGTGACATCAAATTTCCCACCGCACCGTTTCAATTGATCTAATTCTTGGTGTTCAATACAGCCATCTCCTTGCTGAAAGTGAGGTTCGGCAAGACCTGCCATTTGAACAAAGACAAAGCTTGGATGGCATGTTATTGGCCCAGACAATGCGAAAGAATCAAGTACCACTTATCTGAACTTTGCGAAGAAAATCGATCTGAAATTATTAAACATTTACGAAAAATATAAAAATATTTACGATTTTGAGTCTTAACCTAGCTGGAACGAGATGTCAACCGTGTTTAGCGAGGTCGAATACCTCGTGAACAGCCCCCCTCGGGTACCCTTCAAACGACGCAAATGACCCTCAACCTTTGAGGGTCGAGCGAGAGCAGAAGTCCGACAAGGTCCCTTCCGAGAGGTTAAAAATTGTCGAAAGCGGTTTGAGTACGTCCAGGCGTTATTTCAGCAATTTTGGAATCGGTTCCAACGCGAGCATATGCAAGGCCTGATGCGACGAGCAAAGTGGAGAACAGAGAAACGGCAATTCAAGGTCGGTGATATCCATCGTCCTAGTCGTCAATTCAAATGCCGCGAGAGGAAAGTGGAGCCTTGCGCATATTGTCGAGGTCACTACCCTGGAAGAGACGGCATAGTTCGGAAAGTGAAGGTAAAAACTAAGTCTGGAAAATACCAGCGATCAATTCAGAAATGTTGTCCAATCCTAGAAGATGATTCCTTCTAATCGTGGTGCCGGAGGGCTGGATCGGACAGTTTACATATGGTTTGATTATTTCAGTTATTATTATCAGATTATTTTGGTTATTAATCATTTCGCAGTTGTTAGTGTAACCAGAGAACATAAGAATATCGGATTTATTGTGAGACAAGCGTGCGAGAGAGTGAGAATTTGTGAGTTTGACAATCAGTGGAGATCCACTCTTCAAGGTACTGTGAGTTGTGATTAAGTTTGTTTGAATAATAGTTTAACTGTAATGTAATCAGAACCCAATCAATTTAGAATGTATAATATATTACGAAAAATCTGCATTGAATTGTGTCTGATTTCGCCCAATTGGAAACGCGTTTGATTTACCGTTCGTTGAACCGTTTGTCGCAATTTCGTTCAATCGCATTGCAGTTGGCTCAACATTAGATTAAACATTTGCAATGTTACAACTTTATAGAAGAAGCGACGAATGTGTTACCCAGAGATAATCCTAGAATAGTAAGCTTGTAATGGGGTTATATAATTTTAGGCGAATCGAATGCTATTTCGTGCGCTTCATGATTTCGTCTGAACGTCATGCAGACATGAAAGGCTATATTATTATTCAGTGCATGCATGCTATTATTTCCTTAAAACGTCAAATTTCACGTCAAAAACTCAAAATGCTTTCCATAAAAAATTTATCATTTTTTGAATGCCGGTATTGCAATGATTATATACAATCTGTACTTTAATACTTCTGTAGTTTCCATAAAGCCAAAGTTCACCACGCGCACAAACAAGGTCGCAAGCTATATAATTATATTGAGCATTACGAGCCATATGCCTTGGGAGCCGGTGCTAATTAAATTGCATAACTGTTGGAAGTCTCAAGATGTATGAAAACAGACAAAACCCGATGTTAAAATGAATTGAGGAATTTTGCGTGTTACATATTATCAGGCCTGATATTATATTGTGAACAATATAAGTTTTATAAAAAATACTCTATCAAATTTATTTAAACTTTCAATTCACAAAATTTTCTTCATATGTATACTGATGTTGCACATTTCATCCTGCATGAACATTGCACTTTGAAGGCTGCCAGTGCCAGCTAGCGCGGCGAAATGAACAAATATGAAATGGAGCCGACATTGCAGCTTTAGCTTTGCGAAGGAAATATGGCGAGTGTGCATGCAATCAACAAAATGATAAGTTTGAAATTTTATGCTATGAGATTTCATAGCCCTAGTTGTTTTAATAACGATAATCTGTCTCTTGGAAACATTTCCTCGCACGGACAGTGGTTTTATTGCAACCTGTCAACATGTATTAATGTATACGTGCTGAAATTTTCCATGTATTTTGAAATCTGTAGTTTGTAGTGCCTTGCGAGCGCTGTTCGTAAAATGGAGTCCTTGGCGGCTTGGCCTGGAAATTTGTATCTCGACTCCTCTTTTATGTAAATGTCCTAATGATTTCATTATATAGTTCAGGTTTAAATTTTTATCCACTTAGACTACGTTTACACTACTCCGGATCGGTCTGAAAACGGTGCAAAAAAGTATCAAAACGGGGTTGCGTTTACACAGCACCGGATCGGATTTGTTTGAAAACGTCATCTTTGCCGTAGCGACACGACCATACTTTCAAAATGTGGTCGAACGAAAACGGAGCGCTACGTGGCGTTGTGTAAACACTACACCGTTAATATTTCGCTACACTTTAGATACCACTCCGCTACAATGCGTGGCGCGTTGTTGCCGTAATTCAATATAGCGAAATATTTTCCAACAATTTATTAACAAGCACCTTTCTCGCTATCGGCGGTATTATTGATCGCGTCGCGTAGCGACAGCGATCTATAGTTTCGGCTTGGTTTTTTTTTTATTATTATTTTTTTCCTCTCGGGTCGACCCCCAGCGTCGCTAGCTGCGGGCCATATCACCCTAATCGGGAACCTGCGCACAGGTAAGTTGCTAGTTATATCACGTGTTGTATTCACTTTGGGCATATTTCGTTTCACCTTCGAATTTCGAAGCAGTAAAGTAGAATCAACAAGACGCCTACTAGGCGTTATATGATCGCGTCGTTCACAGCGGCGTAGCCAGCCCAGCTATGCAAATTTTGTGTCGTAAATGTTCTTAATAATAAAAATGAACAATATACCGAACTATAGTCGCATGTTGAAAGCAGGAGAAACACAAAACAGCCCATTTCGAAACTGCTTGAAATCCTTTAGTGCAGGCTTACTCTGCTCGGCGTGTGCAGTTAGTTGTATGTGTAATGAGTGTAAAGATAAAGATAGCACTTGCTAGCATTTTGATCGCTTTATTGATTCTACTTTACTGCTTCGAAGTTCGAAGGTGAAACGAAATATGCCCAAAGTGAATACAACACGTGATATAACTAGCAACTTACCTGTGCGCAGGTTCCCGATTAGGGTGATATGGCCCGCAGCTAGCGACGCTGGGGGTCGACCCGAGAGGAAAAAAATAATAATAACAAGACGCCTACTAGGCGTTATATGATCGCGTCGTTCACAGCGGCGTAGCCAGCCCAGCTATGCAAATTTTGTGTCGTAAATGTTCTTAATAATAAAAATGAACAATATACCGAACTATAGTCGCATGTTGAAAGCAGGAGAAACACAAAACAGCCCATTTCGAAACTGCTTGAAATCCTTTAGTGCAGGCTTACTCTGCTCGGCGTGTGCAGTTAGTTGTATGTGTAATGAGTGTAAAGATAAAGATAACACTTGCTAGCATTTTGATCGCTTTATTGATTCTACTTTACTGCTTCGAAGTTCGAAGGTGAAACGAAATATGCCCAAAGTGAATACAACACGTGATATAACTAGCAACTTACCTGTGCGCAGGTTCCCGATTAGGGTGATATTGCCCGCAGCTAGCGACGCTGGGGGTCGACCCGAGAGGAAAATAAAAAAAAAAAAAAAAACCAAGCCGAAACTATAGATCGCTGTCGCTACGCGACGCGATAAAAATAACACCAACCAAGCCGAAACTATAGATCGCTGTCGCTACGCGACGCGATCAATAAAGCGATCAAAATGCTAGCAAGTGATATCTTTATCTTTACACTCATTACACATACAAGTAACTGCACACGCCGAGCAGAGTAAGCCTGCACTAAAGGATTTCAAGCAGTTTCGAAAAGGGCTGTTGTGTGTTTCTCCTGCTTTCAACATGCGACTATAGTTCGGTATATTGTTTTATTATTAAGAACATTTACGACACAAAATTTGCATAGCTGGGCTGGCTACGCCGCTGTGAACGACGCGATCATATAACGCCTAGTAGGCGTCTTGTTTTCATTGTTTTTGCGACCCACGACTACAGATATAAACGTCAAGCAATGTTTCAAAAAGAAATGGCGCAATTTTCCGCGAACAACTTACGAATGTTGACAGCGAAGAACGCTTGTGTGTAAACGCTAACGAATCTGTACTCGGAATTCAAACGGAGCAGCGTAAACGCAGTCAAATTTTGCCGTCACTTTCTCGCTCCGGAGCTGTGTAAACGTAGTCTTAGAAGTTAGAATGAATACACTATAGCACGACGGAGGTTCTCATGCCACAAAATCAAGTGGATTAGGTCTATATATAAGTATAAGCCAGGGTATAAGCGTTGTTCTTGCGCTAGGTGTCCGCGACCTAAGTTTGCAATGCATCATTTTATTTTGACCGCATTGCAGCCCGTAGACAATTAAATTTAAACCAAATTTTAAAATATCCTTAACGCAATGCCCATAGGCTTGACCGCGGCGAGAGGCTACAGCTATTGCTATATCCGAACATAAAAGAGTGCAGTGTGAACTAGGTGAATATCCGCTCGAATATCCGAGCTTACATTTTATCAAATATTTTATTTAAATATTACTGCGCAATACATTAAACTGGGATTGAAATTAAATGTGGATTTTAAGAAACACTTGAACGAATCCCTGCCAAATGAAACGAACATCGAAACAAACATGTTGTATTTACATCAAATTAGTTTTAACAGCATTAAAACACGTTTCTACGTTGGTTTGCATACAAACGAACTTTGCGTATGCGATATTTTGTATTCATGTCTGGTTATCATCTGTAAACCACTTGATCCTTGCCCTAATTAATTTAAATCATTTGCGCATCAAAGAGTATAAGCAAAAGTGTACAATGGAATCTCTTGTGTTTAGTTTAACATAAAAATATGTATCCAGTAGCTGAACTCAACCAAACTGAGACGGTGACCGATGACATCGCCTGTGATATTATTATCGAAGGCAGGCCATTCATTCCAATCTTCGTTCACACTTCACAGCTAGGCCTGGTTTACTGTCGTGTTAATAAAACGCATGCATGTTTACGTCTATGTTTACGGCTTTAATTAATCACTCATACATATATTTTGTCTGTGGAGGCTGAAGGCTTTCTAACGCTTAACCCGAATCTTGTCGCAAAACGCAAATGTATATATGCATTTAAAGTATAAAAAAAGGGGATTTAGGTAGTATAGCTAGAGCTAATAGATTATTTTGGGTCAATTATATCACGTTCATCAAGCCTTCAGACTAATTGGTTTAAACCGTTCATAAAGGTAAATAGTTCGAACGCTTCTGATTGAGTATTTTTTCGTTCGTATTCTCGACTTAAAACGTTCAGATTTTTAGCTGAATTCGTGAAAATGTTTTTTAGATTCGTTGAAACGTTATGACAGATCGTTCACTAACCGTCCATTATCCGTTCGTTTTCCCGTTTCAACGAAATATCGTTAACGGATGTTTTCCCGTGGAAGGTCACATTATAATGTATGCAAAGAATTTAAAAAAGATATAAGCATTTTTATTAATTAAATTGATATTGGGTACAATAATTTATTAGTTTACGTAGCTACATGTCCTTACCGTTCATTTATATTTTTACACTAAGATGTGGTAAAACCTTTTAAACATTGTATTTCCATCTTGAAAAGCATTCCTCGAATATCTGAAGTAATATATTTCTTTCTTTCGTATTCAAATCGTCAGAAACTCACTAAAACCAAAAAACCCAAAAACTCACTAAAACCTTTTTAAAATGTAAAACCCGCCCACAAATCGAAACAAATATCAGACTGCGGTAATACTGATCGAAGACCAATATGACGTGAGCAAGAGTGGGGGAAACATTAGGCCTCGAGCGCTCAGTCCATCTAATATAGGTCAGTTGTTTCAACTCGTTTTAAACTGACGCATGCGCGTAACTTACAAAAACGCCCAACGTCCTTGACATAATGGAGGACAACTTCAATTTCGTTTTGCATTCCTGGGCCTAATTAGAATCTCTGGGCGGGATTAGAACCCTGGATCAAGACAAAGTTTTTATAGGGATAGTTTTAGAGGCAGTTTGATATCAAATGTAATGTCTGCTTTTTAATACTATTATTATACTGTTCAAGGTATATTATACTATTCAAGGTGTTTCACTAACACAGTATTTGCTATCACATCTAAGACATCTTTTGTTAACTTATTTTGTTAAATATTGCCCAGAATCTTCTAGGAACGCCCAATATTGCCTAGGAACGCCCAACATCGCCTTGAAACGCCCAGTAAGGCATAGAATCGCCTATTACCGCCTTTTTTTTCTAATTTATCCAATATCGCCAAATTCCACCCAATTTCAACAAATTTCGTTAACAATATCCCATTCAGCTCTAAACTAATATAGCAACTCAAATCCACCACCACTACACCTCTAAGCGCTCGGGTCATGACTGCTAAGACTCTTAGAGACGGGTTTTACTGCAATCACAAATCAGTTGCCAGCCTTTTGCAACTGCGTAAAATTTGAACTCAAAAGAACAACAAAGACAGCTTCTTGATCACAAACACGAGCACGAACACAAATTTCGTGCGTAAAGAAAAAAGAGGAATTACTAGCTGACCGAAACAGAACTAAGCATGCGTAAACAGTATAAAGATCTGCACGTCGTTGATAATTGTAACTTTGTTGTCGTAGAAGCAGTGAAGCATACAGTACGCATAAACATGAGTGGCGAACCTGAACGTATCGGTCAGCTCCTTTCAAATAGAAAGGTATGCGACAAATTGCTTGCTGGGTTACTCAACGAACTGGAAACGAAGCACAAGGAACAGATAGACCTGATTTTGAAGGCGCACCCGCCAGCCTCAGATGAAAATGCAGCCTTGAAAGGTCATTCGCACATTCACGGCCTACCCGACTATAATGAGATGATCAACAAATTGGCTCTTCATCCTCCTGTGGCTGCACTTCGAGATCAGATTATTACTGACCCAGGTACGTAGAGACAGCGCAATCGCATTTTATAGCCGTGTGCACACAGGCAATTCATTTCTGTTGGCTTAGCACCAGATAAATGGCTACCGCCCCTCAAAGGAATCACACTGGCCCAATGACTTTGCTTTCATTTAAACCGAAATTGACGTTGCTATCTTGATTTATTTTTATTACCAAATCTTTTATTCTTCTCCCGACCGTAATGGCAAAGTCAAGGAGTCTTTTATGGCTCGGGGGAAAAGTTAGAACCACGCCTGCATGTACATGCCACGTCAGAGAACTTAATTGTTAAACGTAGTATTATTAATTCGATTACAAGAAATTTGAATCAAGTTGTCAACGTGCAAGCGATAATTACAGTATAAATTAGTATAATCTGCACGCGCATGCCATGAATCATACCGCAGTTAATAGAATATATACATGGTTTGGAGAATAAATAAAAGTACATTACAACTCATTAATTATGGTATTGTCCAGACTTATGAAAAAATAGTTCCTTTCTCGTCACGTGTTTATTGTATTTTAGCTAAACGTACCAGTGGCATTCGTCTTACTAAGCTTCACTGCCTCCACAACCTTGACTTGAAAAATATTTTAATTATAAGATTGTTATTGGTTTATCTGCGCAAAATACAATAGACACGTGATAAGAAAGGAACAATTTTTTGCATAAATCTAACTCAGCATAGTTAATGGGTTGTATTGCAATTGTATTGACAGATAGTATCGCGCTTCATGTTGCACATTGCAATATAAACGAAGGGCCTCACTGCCAAAATTCCAATCTTCAAAAGACAAGAAATCTTCTTCCACTCCATGACGATATCCACTGCATGCATATAAAGGAAAATATCACATCTCCTGCTTTCGAAAGTTATGGTGGTAAACGTTACCGGCATTCTTACAATGAGGAATTGTTTCATGCCACATGTATCATCGTACTTGCATTATCTAAAACATTTTGCTAATGTTGCAAAACAGTGTACGTGATCTCGTGGAAAAGTTGCGAATTATATTTTTTATTTTGATAGAAATAAACATGTTTTTCCATCAAATGTTCTGGCAACAACGATCGCTGCCAGATATTTCGGAAGGAAAGAAAATCTGGTGTTGGCAAATCATGATTCTTCTTATCAACATGATCATGAGAAAGGCGCCCGAGTTTAACAAAACTCATTTTGTTGGTTTTCCAATCAACGTGATCTTGAACTGGCCGATGGCAACTACGGCTGGTTTTGCTGCGTTCCTGAACGAAAAAGTAAACAACGCAAACTTTTAGAGTTTAAGCTTGATGCAACATCTCAACATCCGTACCAGAGAATCTGATAAACACGTTACATTGTTATTTTACAAAGTGTGAACTTGAATATAAAGTTATCAAAGAAATATCTCCCTGACTGTATAACATCGTTTAATATCGTTTGAGATTCAGGTCTCAACACCATGTTGGGTTTTGCTTCGGTCAGAATTTTGTGCAAGCAATCCCTTCCCAGCAAAAATTGGTGCGTAAGTTACTTTAAATAAATTACATTACCTTTCTCATCAGGTGAACAAATTATTCAAAAACATCTTGAATTACTGGGGCGAGTATTTGTCCAGCTATGAGTCTACGTATGTCTTGAATGAAAACAAGGAATCTGGTTGGTTTGGTGAAGATGCGATGGAAGAAATGCCGAATTTTGTTAAAGAATTTGAATGTGATCCTACTAAACCACACTATGGCTTCACATCGTGGGACGATTTCTTCGTTAGGAAGTATCGGCCTGGAATACGGCCAGTCGAATCTCCTGAAGACGACAATGTCGTAGCGAATGCCTGTGAGTCTGCACCCTTCAAACTGGCACATGACATCAAACAACGAAACTGGTTTTGGGTCAAGAAACAGTATTATTCACTGGGTAAGCATATCAGAGTATCGTCGTTGGGCAGCTTTTGTTGTTTCCTTCAGAAAGAAAAGCTCGCAACAAAGGAATGCTTATGTTCTTGCTCATGATCAACGCACGACTGCAGATCTTTGGTTCTTTTTTGTGCGATATTATAATTTGGTGTCGCCGCCAGCAGTGCTTAATTGCGTAAAATATATAAATGAGAATCAGGCTTGCCAGTTGCCAATGATCAAACCTACCTTTAAAATGTAAAATTTCTTTTCGACCTCATGTCTGTAATTGAGAGCTATAGGATATCATTTATCTATAAATATTCCCATAGATCATTTGCTCAACAATAATGCGATGGCTAAGAAGTTTTATGGTGGAACCCTCTACCAAGCCTTCCTCAGTGCAACCAGCTACCATCGATGGCACAGTCCCGTCTCTGGTCACGTTGTGAAAACAGAGTTGGTCGATGGTTCTTACTACAGCCAACCTTACAACTTTCGAGACAATGATTCTCAGGGTTACATCTGCCAAGTTGCTGCAAGAGGTATCATCTATATCCTGGCCGACAATCCTGATATTGGTCTGATGGTTTTTATCTCTGTTGGGATGTCCGAGGTCTCCACCAATGAGATTACCGTGAAGGAAGGTGACTACATTAAGAAGGGAGATGAAATTGGAATGTTCCATTTTGGTGGCTCAACTCATTGCCTCATTTTCCAGCCTTGGGTGAATGTTTCGTTTGATTTACGTGGTCAAACACCTGGCACATATAAAGATCTTTTCAATATCCCTGTACGATCGAGAATTGCCGTTATTTCCAAACCGAAGGTTAAAGGAGGCAAATGATATTGTCATTCATACTTGACTCTCTTTCATTATTTGCTGCTCGGTAATTTGCTAAGCTGATGTTGTAAGGTATTTGTTTAGCATTTGTTTAAAGCTATTTTAGTATATCAATATTAAAATAAAGTTAATCAGGAAACGTTCATATCAAGGTGTGTCTTCGGTGATGGCAAAAACGTGTGTTTTGCGGGCGGCATGTCAGACATGCGTCAAACCGGCACTCTAATGAATTAGTAGATCAATATGGTATCGCACGCGAACATCATTTGACCTGCTCAATCAACCAATTAGACTCCTTTTCCATTTGGCGCGAAAAAACAACGAATAACAATTCAAAGGTTCACGCATAAGCATCATGCACAAGCTCAATCTTGCCACTTGGCAAATAGCTCTGGTCAAAGAAACAGTTTGCAAAATTTAAAGAATTATCAGAGATGTTTCCTGCCAGAGATGGTCAGAGATGGTTCCTGCAACTTCCCCAGATAATCCTCGACAGGCAGCGTCAGCGAACGCTTTCAATGATGCTCATGCAGGTAGCGCAAATTCAGGCCATCCTCGACAAATCGGCTGGACAGATCGCGACAACCGCCGCGACAGCTGCTGTGGCATCCATGCAGAACTCCGGTCAGAACTCCGTCACCAACAGCGTAGATGAGGCCATCGTTGATGATGCTCCTGAGCAATCCGTAGCCACGCATTTTATAAACTCGGCTGTTCCTACCGCGCCGTCACCTCAAGTGCCATACAGCCACGAATTCCACGATATTCCCGCAGCATACGTGAGACAAATTCAATCGGGTGAGTTTTTTTACTTAGGTAAGCTTCTCCCAAAAAACTTCTCTAATGGCTCTTACAACGAGCCTATTAACTTGACGCTTGAGAACTCGGTAATTAAGGTTATAAGGTCGTCTCAGTCCGTCGCAAAAATCACCGATATTGAACAGTGGACTACAGCTTTCAGGATCTACATGAGTGTATTGACACATTCGTTCCCGGGACGGGCTCAGGAATTGCTGCAATACATCAGTCTAACGCACCACGCAGCTCGTACTCATCGCGGCCTTTGATAGTGTATTTACGACCATAGGTTTCGCCGAAAAGTTTTCCTCAACGCATGCATCGATTGGTTCAACAGTTGTGGTTGATGATATTTACTGTATCTCCCTATGTACTTAGAAGGGAGTACCCTCTTTTTCATAACGGACTCCAAAAGCAGTTTTCCTCAGAGGGCGAACGAGGTCTCTGCATCGATTATATTAACCGATCTGGATGTTCCCATCAGCCGTGCCGATATCAGCACGCATGTAGTAAATGCCGAGGCCTACATACAGCATATTTTTGTCCGACCAAGACCGCCGAAGATTCTGAAGCCCAACGCATCTCTAAGCGCCATGACACCGACCACAGACCTGCCAAGTCAAAGCACTAACCTAGTTCCGAAACCCATCGATGTAAAGAATTTAGAAAAAGCCCTTACGGGCAGCGCACGCCACGCTTTTCCAAAAATTTACCGACGGCGCATGCGGACCCTGCAATTGTTTCATCTAATTTAGCTACGAAGTTTTCGGTAGGTCGTGTTGCTGGTCCCTTTAACGAGCCCCCTTTCCGAATTCTCAAGTTTCTCCTATCGAGTTAGTCCCTAAAAAGCATGCGGAAAATTTCCGCACTATATTTCATCTTTCATTTCCGAAATCGGGTATGACCAGCATAAATTCTTTTATCTCACAAGACGACTTTAGTCTTCAGTACGTTACTATCGACGATGCGATCAAGGGAATTATGCGTTTTGGGCAAGGTTGCTTTCTTGCAAAAACCGATATCGAATCTGCTTTTCGGCTCATACCTATACATCCGGACGATTATGAATTGTTAGGAATGTGCTGGGCGGGAAAATATTACTATACGACAAAGTTCTGCCATTTGGTCTGCGCAGCGCCCCTTTTATATTTAATCAACTTTCCAACGCCTCGGAGTGGATCTTACTAAATAAATGCCCGATTTCCTTCGCATGTGATATCCTATATGATTTTTGCTCATTGAACCAAAAGCACCCGCTTTGCCCTTTGACAGCATCTGTCAACAAAGTTTATCTGCCATGCATGCTTCTTGCATTTCAAAATATAAAAATACCGATAGCCGCCGGCAAAACACATGGTCCGTCGCAAGTTCTTGAATTCATTGGTATAATTTTAGATACGGTTCAAAAGCAGGCACGTCTCCCTCCAGACAAAATAACACGGTTGCATGACATATTCATTAATTTCCAACACAATACCTCGTGCACATTGAAGGAACTACAATCCCTCATATAGGAACTTTGAATTTCGCATGCAAAGTTTTGCCACCCGGCCGCCCCTTTCTAAAACATATGATTGCCCTGACTCGCAACGTTAAAAAGCAACACCATCACATCAAACCCAGTAAGAGTTTCTACCAAGATCTTGAAATATGGAAGGATTTAATATTAAATTGGAACGGGCTAATTTCTTTTTATCTTCCGAATAGCAGGATTCAGATAGATTAGTGTTATACACTGATGCCTCCGGGACACTTGGGTATGGTGGCATATTTGGGACCAAATGGCTCCAGGGTACATGGCATGCTCACCAACAACTAGGAGTTCCCGGTATAAGCATTGCATGGCAAGAACGTTTTGTTATCGTCGTTGCATGTCAAATTTGGGGGCCCCTGCTGCGCGATCAACGCTTAAATTTAAGTGCGATAATGAGGCAGTCGTCAACATGATTATAGCACCAAACGTTCCAAAATCCCTCGGGTCATGGATCTGCTTCGTCATTTAACTCTTTTTACCCTGCGATATAATATGCACATTCGGGCAACGCACATTTCTGGAAAACGGAACGAAATAGCAGACTCCATTTTTCGTTTTCAGCTTCAGCGATTCCGTCAACTGGCACCGCAGGCGGATATCAACCCATGTTTGGTCCGCGAAATAACAGCTTAAGTACTGGTTAGAATAAATAAACTGTTTTTGCACAAGAAAGGCTCTTGTCAGTTCAAATGAATTTTTTTGTATGTTGTAAGTGTCGTATTGTTATTTAAAAGTAAACAATTTTTCTTCTAAAAGTACCGCGAGACGTGCCAGTGACATTGTGCAACTTTCACAATTTAACAATCCAACTCTTAACTTTAATATAACTTTACGGCGATTAATACGAACAATTAGGCCTTAGTGCTAATCCTTTATCTCAATGGCATAAATATCGGGGGTTGATTAACATCGGAAGAGGGGCGTCTTCACAAAGCACCACCATAATTGGTGCTGATAGAGAAATGTTTCAAATTTCATTTTGCTTATGAACATAAACAAGTCAGTATGTGATGCATACACAGTACTGACTGTACTGTCCCCTGAAATAACCTAACAAAAACCGCAGTTAACCTCGGTCGAACCTCGGTCTGACAGACATTTCCTAATTAAGATGTTTTCGATTTTATTATTGTTTTGTCATTCTCAGCCGTTCATAACATTCCGTTTGGAAGCGAACGGCCACTTCGATCGTATTTTTTTCCTTGAGGTCGTCTGCGGTTTCTACCAGTTGACCGCGACCGAACCGCAACCGCAGTGTCAGGTTAGTACTGTATGCCCTTCGATATCACAAACTTCTCGATGACCCCCAAATGATTGGGGGTTAGCAATGCAAAAAACTTGAAGAGGAAATCATACGTTTCGGACATTGCCGGTAGAGTTATCCAGCCTTGAAGGTTTGTTAAAACACGAGCGTAGATTCCGGTCGTAAAAACGTGCGAAAAAAAGCTCTCTAAGAATTGTTTGATACACATCTTACCACACCATTTTATTATCATCTTTTTCTAAACATTTTTCATTTTTTTTATCATTTACAACTTCATGACACTTTAACAACCTAACTGAAAAATAGCACTACTCGAATATCAAAATTAATGAACACCCTTGCATTAAAGGGAAATGGCAATATATTTGTTTATTTTCTTATTTGAAAGAGCTTTGAAAACTATATTTAATTTTCTTTTACCGTTTTTTTATATCTTGCTTACTTCTACAAATATTTTGATCGAAAAGAATGAAATATCCGCCATCTTGGATTTTTGTAGATATACAGTTACGTCACAACATGGGTCACGCCATATTTCTATCTCGACAACCACCAATCATTTTGCACTCAAAACTATACTCTGTATGCTCTTCGAAATATCAAGATCACTCAACACCTTTAAAACATCTACGAATCAATATTTGGCCAGCAACGAATACTTTTATATGGCGAACCCCTGTTGTGACGTCACCAAAACTACCGTTAATGAGATAAAAAATTATCCAAGATGGCGGATATTTCATTCCTTTCGATCAAAATATTTGTAGAAGTAAGCAACATATAAAAAAACAGTAAAGAGAATTAAATACAGTTTTCAAAGTTCTTTCAAATGAGAAAATAAAAAAATATATTGCTATTTCCCTTTAAAAATATTAATAATAAGTAATGTTGTCCTTCAAGTTCACTGCAAGCGTTGACTTCCTTTCAGTTGTTTCTAAACAAGATAAAGTGTTTAACCTTGTCAGTTCGTTATTCGAATATTTTTAATTTCTCGAATTTCCAACCGATCGCTATCGTCGACTCATTCATGTAAGAAATATTACCATTTTGATACAACATGATAATAACTGGGAGACGTTTCTACGGTGAAGTATAAAGAGGACGATTTAAGTAGGGGTATAAAAAGAAAGCAGATAATTAACAGTTAAGTATTGAGAACACGAGTTGTATATATGTGCTGATAGTCGACGAGGCGTGCAGCGTTGAGTTAGCTATTAGTCATAATTATGCGACGAGAGTGAGCCAAATAACTGTTATAATTATTATATACAGAAGCGCTGGATAAAAAAAACTTTCAAATATTTTGTAAGCCTATATTTTTTAGCCTATCGCTGAATACTTTTATTTCAAAGTTCGTCGCCTTTCGGTGCACTTTGTTGTACTTTTCTAAATTTCATCGTCGCTGAACTCCATAAACCTTCCCGCCGTTTTGTTTACGTTTCTCTACTAAACAGATATGAGCTAATATATCTGCAGTCTAGTAGAGAACCAATCAGATTGCAAGTTAGCTCATATCCAGCGCTTGAGTGTATAATAAAAAGTTATGTAATAAGTGATATAAATTGGAAAATTATATTAGCTAAGTTTGTCATTTTTTTTTAACCAAATTCAATACATGTTTAACATTTATTTGAAAGAATGATCATAACGACTTTTTTCGACCGCATTTGTGTTTCACATTTTCTGCGCTTCGGACGTTGATCATGTGATGCAGTTATAGAGTTTGTCATATTAGATTCAACAGCAGTGAACTCTAACAAAATTGGAACGATAGGCTAACTCCATAATAAAGTCCAGTCATTTGATCGGATGAAACCGATTTGAATATAATTCGTTGATTGTGGCGGGAAACGCGCAGGTTCAGCGCAGTTACCGCATCAAAAGAACTGGGAGACAATATAGAAGTAAAAAAATCCGTAAAAATTGTGATTTGGTCTAAAATATGCCAGAAAAGTGCATTTTCCACTGATGACTTCAACTTTACTTGTGTGTAAAACCGGAATTGTTTTAGTGGTGTAATTTCAGCTGTTCGCCTTTATTATGGCCTGGTTATTCTCCCAGTCTTTTTACACGCGCACTGCGCTAACGTCTTCGCCAGTAGTGTGCTGTCATAACGTGGAATATAACATTTCTGTCCACGTTATACTTAATAGCTTTTTGGGAAAGGTCGTATCGCGCATTTTGAGGAAACTGGTTGGATACGACGATCTTACTCATGACTTTTTTAAGGTTGTAAATTCTTTCAAAACATTATAAATTTTTTGCTTATATTGTGTGCGCATGCGCATTGTCGAAAACAAAATGGGGTCCATTAAAACGTTTACTTATTTCGGATGGTTCCTATTCTTTGCCAGGACAAAAAAATTGGGGAAGTTTATAGTATATAGATTATGTGACGTGAGAATGGCGTTCATTTTATTACAGCAAATTACATTAAAATGTGTTTTCATAAAATGTATATTCAAAAGCGTCACGAAAGTTTTCTAATTTTTTACTCTTCAAACAGTTAAAAGCTACTTTATATATGAATTTGATAGGATTTCCATGACCAGATTTCAAGCTTTATAGAATAGTTTTCAAACTCGGATTATAGAATAGTTTTCAAACTATTCTATAAGGCTCAAAAATTATAGAAACCTCTTTAGTCTAGTCATAGAACCCTCGTCAAAATTGTGCAATCAGTTTCTTCATTGAATGTTGTACCGAGTAACTTTTAAATTAAAAAAATACAATGGGAAAAAGGAACGCTGTTCTTATATGACGGGTTGTTAAATCATAATAATATTCAATACGATTTAGAGTATGCGATGTAGAAAACTCCCGCAACATTTTATTTTTTTCTCTGAAGTTCTTTGTTATTAATTTTTAAGGTTTCTCCCAACCGTCATTATGTTTTCGACAATCTGGCGCCACGCAAACAAATCGCAACCGTGCTGTACAAACATTTACAAGGAGTTTGTAAACTCACCATCATTTGAATTTTGAAAGAAAACACAATCCAACTCATGATCAGACAATGTTGTTTTCATCGGGACAAGCTGAAAGAAACAAGAATTCGTAGGCGTAAATTCAAACTTCTATTTTGATGAAATTCGTAGATAATAAACTAATGTTACAACCACATATTGTAACCAAGGCGTAAGAAAATGTTTTATTCAAACCCTTACGGCTTAGTCACGACCGAGGACGAGGGAAACTTTTTTATGGTACATGCAACTTTAAATGAATTTTTTAAGGGTTCACAACAGCTAGTGGAGAAACCATTCCGCGCCCGCTCCCACTTTCTTTACCTGCCCTAACACCCTTCTTGAAGCATACTGTCTGATAAGGCAAAAGAGCGTTATTCAAGTAATTTTTGCTTACCAATCTTCACTTTTATTTTGTCATTGGATAGGTCAACAATGTCAACAGCTCCATCTCCATTTAGGTCAACAAATCTCACTTTTCCATTTGGCAATGCGATGTTATAAGGTGGGGTGAATTTGTCATCTCGTTTCCATTCACATCCGGTATTGATGGCTGCTCCTTTCTCAGAGGGGCCTTTTCTCCAGACAACGTCAGATAATCCATCCCCATTTACGTCGACAAACTTAACTCCAAGTTCATCTGTGTTTGTTGGTATAGTGTACTTTCGTACACGAATCCAAAGATATCCATTGTTTATGAAAGTAGCTTTTAACACTCTCTGAAAAAAGTTTTAGAGATTTAGATAAGATTGTCGATGATAAATTGGTGGTGGTGATAACTTATTACTTATTAGTCATGCCCATTAACGGTCCTTTTTATGAATCGAAAGAAGCTAAACATATTACAGTCGATAGAATGATATAAATTATTGTTCTGCTCTTGTTGAATATTTCTCATTGAAATTCGTAGGTAATCAGGGTCAAAGTGTTAATATCAACTAAATAATCAGGATGCTGAACTGAACTGAATTATCATTCCCTGCATTTCATATTTTCATTATGATTTCCGCACTTGAAAAACCTTTATTTTTTGTAATTTAAATTATTATTCATATGTACTATAAGTTGAGAGACACTATGATCTCAGATCAGCTGGTTTTGTAACACCAACGTAACCATATATGCTGCCATAATTAATTTAATGCTTTTTTTACTTATATCGGTCCAAATATCATACAATTCGCACAATTACTCAATAAAATTATTGATTTTATTACACTAATTTCGTAAATATACCCTGCCCAAAACGTCACGTCGTACTACCTGTGACTCAAATTTTCTGTGGTATACTAAATCAACTTTGCTATCACCGTTGAGGTCAACAAATCTTCCTCCAATCATGTTAAAAGGTGGAGTAAATTGTGGAGACCAAATCCATGTTTGACCATTATTAATGTATGCGCCTTTTTCTATAGTGAAACGGTCCAGCTTTTTATGATAAACGATGTCATCCCGGCCGTCTCCGTTCAGATCAGCAAATTTAGCGCCCTCGTTTCCATGGTCATCGGCTATATGGTATGGAGGCGTAAATTGTGGTGCCGGCGCCCAACCCTTTCCTATGAATAAACGAGATGTGAACATTATTATTATATAATTATTGTGGCTACCTCATGAAATCATCTGCTTCACTTGAAATAGCGGGGGTTGTTGCATGCATATTTATCGGGACAATCTGGTATAGTATTGTTCTGGTCCCGTGATATGTTACTCGCTATTGGCTAGTATTGACGGCCAGGAGGTAGTTAATCGGCTGAGGCGCATTGTTCTAGATACGCTTGTGTGGGCGTTCCTTTTTCAAAGCAAAAGAGTTATACGAAAAAAAGTTGAAAAACTTATTTTCACTATAATCAATTACTATTACGCGTAAAAAATGGGTAATTCTAGGTTATCTTTCTTCGATTCCAATGATTCGCATACAAACTTTCCAATCTTTGCAATTTCGCGGTAATCTTTCCCCGTGCACTGATTACTGTTTCTGGTTTTAAAGCAATTTAAATAAGAGAATTACTATTGGATTACCAGTGTTGATGAATGCTCCCTTTCTTTCTTTCCCTTTGAGAGAAAGATGATACACGAAGTCCATAAAGCCATCGCCGTTTAACTCAACAAATCTGGCTCCAGAATCTCTCACCCCATCAGAAGTGATAGGATATGGCGGGATAAAGTGTCGAGCTGGCCGCCAACCTTCGCCTGTATTAATGTAAGCACCTCTGACTTGCTTTTGTGTTCGACTGTTCCAACCGTGATACACCACGTCTATTTTTCCATCCCCGTTCAAATCAACAAAGCGTGCGCCTGAAAAGTTATTTAGGCAGATTTAGGAAGAGGAAGTAAAAATGGCGCCAAAAATGGCGTGATTTTCCTATAAATGGACATGCCACGCCATATATTCGGCATTTTTACGACGTGTTTAATTAACCTCCACGTCGTGCAATAATTCGTGGCCTGCTACGAACGACGCGGCTTGATTTGAAAACGCACAGTCCACGGAGTATTTTTTATTTAGGGGTGCCGATTTTGGGGTCTAGAATAAATTAAGCACCATTTAAACGTTTACCTAAATCTTTTCTTTCATGAGACGAGATAGCATGTGGTGGTATAAATTTCGGCTCGGAAATAAACTTTTCCGCGACAGGATCGATTAGGTACGCTCCTTTTAACACCACTCCTTTGTTTGAAAAATGATATGCGAAATCGAGATTACCATCTCCATTCAGATCGACAAATTCTGATCCTTGGCTGGGAAACTTTAAGGATTTCGATGAATCTCCCAAGTCTTCCGACCACCCTCCTGAAATATTTGAAGCAAGCGTTATCACATATTGTTGAATTATTGAATAATAATTGCAAAGCATATGGTTTGCGTTAAATCGTATGTGTCGTGAGTCATATGGAACCTGCTGTTCAAAAGCCGATTAACTTAACCCTGGGTTAAAGCAAATCTTTGCATGAACTTTTCAAATCGCTTGTTTACGATGTTGAATATCTTTTCCCATAAATATTGTCTGGACTCTGGAGTGATATAGAAGTCGTTTTTGAAGAATTTTGAAACAAACCGCGGCTCAGAAGCAAACAAACCAAAACAGTGGGGAAACTTTCACCAAGAGTAAGCGTATATAAGCGAACCACTGGCTCCATGCAGGTGCATTGCTGGTGTAATAGAATATTTTTATGTATGTGAATTCAACCAATGACCTATTTTAAGACAGAAATGTGGACTATTTCTAATAGGTAAAAATGACGACAATTACGACTGCATTTAAAATATATTAATCAGACATCTCCCGTTTTTTACGCATCGTTTTACGCCGGATTTTCGTATTTCTAAATAATGTTTTTCCATGAAAACCTGACAATATGATTGCAATTTAGAGCGGTAGTAATTTATTCTGACTTCTCGTGGAACGCCACTGGTTAACCGATAAACAATTAAGATGCACTCTGAAAACGTTATAAATGCCGATTTCCAATAACACTTACTCTTACAGCTCTTTGTCGTCTTTGGACATCTGCAAACACATTTTCCGCTCATTTCGTCCGTTTTGGCCCTCCCAAGAAGGCATTCTAAAGAGTTGGAGAATTAATTTAAAGTGAGTGATCGAGCTTTAGGGCCACTCGAAAGCGAGTTATTATGGAACAAGAAGTGAAATTTCAAGTTTAACAGTTTAAAATAATTTAGACCGATATTTGATCTATATTAGATATTCCATCCATATTACAGTATACTGTCCAGAAATAACCTAACAGCGACACAGCGTATAAGTTTTCTAATGGAAGAGATGTCAGATAATTCTACTCTTTAAGCCAAGTGTTGGCGATTCAGAAAGATGCCAGAATGTTTGGATTATACCGAACGTGGCACGCTAAACTTTCTTGATCTTCATGAATTTTTAGGGACCAAAACACGAATGAGCTTAACTTTATTACAAGTATTTATCAATATCAGCAATTGATTGATGAGCCTACAAGAGAAACTGACTATTCGAAAACCTTAATTGATCACTTCTATTCCAATAAAAGAGAAAATATTGTTTTAGCAGGAGTTTCTAAAATATCTATTAGTGACCACTACTTAATATTTGGTATAAAAAAGTTTCCATCTTTGAAGGCCGAGGAGCATATTATCGAATTTCGTGATTTCAAAAATTTTAACGAAGAAAATTTTCTTCGCGACTTAATATCTTTACAAACTCTCGATCTAACAAATTATTCCAATCCTAACCAAATGTGGTGTGTTTGGAAAAAAAATTTTACGAAAATTATTGACAATCATGCTCCGCTCAAAACACGTAAAATTGGAAAGAAGCGTACACCATGGATAACTAAGCAAATTATTCATCGCAAGAGGCTAAAGAATTTCTTAAAGAAAAAGGCTTGTAAAACTAAAAGTGAAAGCGATTGGCACGCTTTCAAATCTGCTAGAAACTCGTATAATAAATTGATCAAAGCATCTATTCAAAAACATTACACAACAGAAATTCATAAAAAATCAAGGAAATGCAAACCTCACCTGGAAATCGATCAATAACTTAATTCATAAATCGAAAAAATCTACAAATGTGAGTGAAATTTGCAATAAACATGGTGATACAATTGACACAAATGATTCCTGACGCTTTTAATAATCATTTCACAGATCTAGGTAAAATCTTATCGCAAAAAATTCCACCAACTTCTATTCTCCCAGATACCTACATCAGAGAATCAACACAGGAATTTACTTTTAGTGAGATAAGTGAATTAGAAGTCTTTCAATTGTTGACAACAATTCACTTAATAAGGCAACCGGAATAGATAAACTTCCAACAAAACTTGTCAAATTAGCAGCCCCGTACATTACTAAATCACTTACTGCAATATTTAACAGGTCTATATCAACTGGAATATTCCCTTGCGAATGGAAAGTTGCCAGAATTACCCCAATTTACAAAAGCGGTGTTAAATCTGATATGGATAATTATAGGCCTATATCTGTCATTTCAATAATTGCCAAAGCAATGGAAAAACTTGCATTTAACCAACTTTATTCATATCTACAACAATCAAATCTTTTAACAAATTCACAACATGGTTTCAGACCTCTCCACTCAACTGTCACTGCATTACTAAAAATGACAAATCAGTGGTATCGAAATATGGATGAAGGCTTGATCAATGGAGTTGTTTTTCTGGACTTAAAAAAGGCATTCGATACCGTTGACCATAATATATTACTTAAAAAATTATATCTTTATGGGGTGAGAGGTAAAGCCCATGATTGGTTTAAGTCGTATCTAACAAATCGTATCCAGTACTGCCAGGTTAATAGTAAATTATCTGGGCCACGTACAATTATTACTGGCATTCCGCAGGGCTCAATACTCGGTCCTCTATTATTTCTTATTTATATTAATGATCTTCCTAATAGCCTACAAAATGTGGACTGCGATATGTTTGCTGATGATACTCAAATAGGAACTGCAGGTAGAGACATAAAATCAATTACAGAAAGCTTAAACACTGACCTGGCCAATATTTCAGACTGGATGTCAGCCAACAAATTAAGTTTGAATAAGAGCAAAACTGAGTACATGATAATTGGTTCTCGCCATAATATTAAAAAGTGTGCTTCCGATTTACTGATTGAAATTGAAAACACGCCTATTAAGCGAGTTAGCACCACCAAATCACTGGGTCTGATGCTCGATGAGACCCTGACTTGGCATTCTCAAGTAGAACTCATTACGAAGAAAGTGAACAGGAGTTTTTATGTTCTGAGACGACTTCGAGAGTTCTCAGACTTGAAAACTCTTGTTACAGCTTATAAAACCTTGGTCCAACCACACTTTGACTATTGCTCACAAATATGGGGATGCCTTGGAATTACGTTGCAAAATAAACTGCAACGCTTACAAAACAGGGCAGTCCGTATCATTACAAAGCGTGGTTATGACTATAGGTCTGTAGACATACTTAATGAACTTGAGATACCAAATTTGAGTGTTAAAAGAAATAACCAATTATGCACTACAATGTATCAGGTAAAAAATAGCTTAGTTCCTGACTATCTCATTGACCTTTTTACGAAAACAAACGCGGTGCATGACTATCAAACTAGACAGGCTGAGCATAATCTTCTACCACCTAAGCCAAATACAAATTTTGGTAAAAAATCCTTTTCATACAGAGGTGCAGTGGCTTGGAACAATTTAACATCTAATCAAAAAAACTCTGAATCTATAAAGTGTTTCAAAAGTAACTTGCTAACTAGTAATATGTCTTAGTGTGATAATTGTGATGAACAACTTAATAATTAGTAATATGTGTGATAATTGTAATTTTCACTTCCTCCTATATTCTATTATTTAATACTTGTATATAACTTAATCTTATTTTTAATTATAGACGTAAATGCACGGCCTATTGGAAGATCACTTTTCACTCTTGTAAATATTTCTTTCTTAAACCATTGTGAAATAGTACCGTGGATAAATAAAAATTGATAATGATAATATCGTTTACTATCCGTTGCCTTCAGAGTCGCCGTTGTTCAGTAAATCGTAAGGCCTCTATTATTCTGGTGCAATCGAAGTGAAAATATGACTGTTTTTAGCCCGCTATAATCCGGACAAAAATGATCCACACTCTGTAAACTAATTTCAAGTTGAGTGAAAAATTATTGAAAAATTTACTTTCAATATCTTTTGCGCGTATAGAGCTCGAGCTTTTTAGCGCTTAAGACTTAGCGTTTAAGTTTTCAAGATTAGTTTGATAAATCAACGTTCCTTACCTTTCCACGCACAGAGTGACATCCCCTCAATTGAATCACATACACGCCTACGCTCGTCGACTGACGATTTGAAAGCATTTTCTTGAATGGAGACGATATTTTTAAGATTGTCGCAATAAATACGAGACATGCTGGATTTTTCAATTTCTTCAACCTGGCTTTTTGTAAATATTCCAGCTTCCTCGTTCTCGTAAAAGTAGCGATCACCGTCTCTCAATTTCCCCTAAACTGCTTTCCCACAAGATGACGAAATGTTGGACCAACAACTGAATCATTCACCGGGGTCTCTGCTATTCCTGCTACCCACAATTCGACTAATTCGGGGTTATCGTTGTAAAGATCACTTAAAATACGCCTGTTCTCTGGATCTTTTATTTCATTCTCGGTCTCGTTAAAACTATGCGCGCTTCTGAGTCCACACAAAACCCTAAATGCATTATATCCAGGCAATCCATGATCCCGAGAACGCTGTATGTTTAATGCTGCAAGATTTTCACCATGCCCACCGTCTCGTTCGAATAGATGGTCAATGATCTCAGGTGACAAATGCGTGTCCACTTTTTCAGATATATTTCCGACAAGTCCTAAAAGTAATGGCTCCACACCATGATTGTTAATCGTTGTGCTGTTAAAGAATAATAATCGTAAATTTATCGGTGGCATGATAGAGTTGAAACTGGGGTCAAGCATATCAAACTTTGATCTGATCATGCTGTGTCCCAGTCTGTACGCGAGGGTAAATACATTGAATATGCTGGGACTGACAGATTCGTTGTGGCCTTTGTATTCAGAAATACCCTCGTTTCCGAGAAGAATCGGCAGGTAGTCTTTATAGGTAATTTTTTGTATTTCAGCTCCGATAATTTTTCTGGCTTCCTGGAATATGACTTCGCCATCCCAATGAGGATTTATCTTCGCCAGTATCTTAGCAACGCGGTTGTGTTCACGAAGCCACAACGTATGGAACGCTGTTAATCCTTGTTGGTCATTCGGACGAATATCACCGGCTACGAAGCAAGTCTGCACGCAAGCTGATCCTTTCGCGCTAGTATCCAACGGAAGCAAGTCACCTTCTGACGTGAGCAACAGTCCTTCGTCATCTAAAGAGACGTGTTTATCGTTAAAGCTTGGGCGAAGAAGTTCAAAGTTTGAGCTGAACTGAATTGACAGGTTAATAAGAAAATTTCCAGGATTTCAGAGGAAAATCTTGGTAAAAATATGATTAATTATGATGCTATGTGGAATTACAACTGATTGCAAGATGATACTTGCAAAAAGTTCAATTGATACAATTGTATAAATATCGCCGCAAAATATCGATCGTAGTTCGCAATAACGGTATATCTGTTATGCGTGGTTCAGACGATCCAACTTTTTCGGGTCTGATTCACCTCTGACGTATGGAATGTAATCATTATTATTATTATTAATCGAATGTTTATACAGGATGAATCGCTTCAGTTCAATGAAGTACTTTTATCAATGCGAGTCCTATAAAATCTGTTATTGATAAAGCAGTATTGATTCAGAATTAGCTTTAGTCGATTAGCTGCACATATACATACATTGCAAGTCGACAGACAAATAAAACATTAATAAAAACTCAAAAGTGAATTAGATCCCACAAAATTGGAAAGTGTCAACAGACCTATATATCTATCTCAAAAAAAGGATGTTCTGCATAGAATTGGCGCATGTTGTGATGTTCCAATTTCAAACTGCCTATCTTTTAAAAAAAGACCTGATATCGAAATAAAACCTAGTAAGATCAATTAAGTTTGAATAAATAGTTTACACCTTACTCGTGCAATTCCCGGAAAGTTGTTTGTCGATAGCTAGTAATGCTCCTATGTGTCTCCGTTGCTCCTCTTACCTGTTGACCGAAAAACTTTTCCTTCTTCGTCCAGTATATATTGTCCAGTCCAACCTGTTGTTACGTATGATGCTTCACGAAGAAACTTCCACTCGTTGCCCCAGAGATTACTAGAACTCACGCCTTCACGGACGTATAGCTTATGTTCAGAATCAACGGCGTAGACATCAGAATCGCCGCCAATTTCAATTTGTTTCATCTTTCCATCAATTGGAACCTATTGGTTGGTAAGAAAAAAATATGAAAAACAATTCGTTGCCGAAGTACATTACTGTACAAAATGGACGTACAAAATTGTTGCTCTTTCAGAATATCGTTGAATATTGCGAGCAACGATTTCAAGGAATCGTGCTTCCGTTATGCTATGCAAATTACTGCTTCTTTTTAATAAGTCCATGTTTTCATTGCAATAATTCCATTCACTTGTACATCAACTTGCGCCAACTATGTTCTGATTACAATGTAACTGAAATCCTTATTTAACTTATTCCAGTCAGTTTTTGCAGGAAATACAAAATAATATAAATGCTTTATAGATTCTTTCCATTTGTCAATTTCTTGACACAAGGAAAACAACAGAGGATTTCCGCATTGAAAGAATATTGAAAAAGAATATATCATGAAAGCTTTTTAAAATTTGTAGCCAGATTAATACAAACTTTTATGAACTGTGTTTATCTCTTAACACCCTAAAACTGATGCCAATCTCTTAATACCCAAAAACTAATTCATAGTTCTGGGGTTATCCCAGTGAACGATTATAGAAGAGGAATTCGGCACCTTTTTTAAATAAAGTTGACCTTCATATGTTTAATTTAAAATATAGAAAAAATAACTCATTTTTTGCTGTAAATTTCAAAAAGTATTAGTAACCCTTTCTTTGCAATGAGGAATTTTAGAAATGCCTACTGTAATTTGGAACGGTATTACCTACTGATGGTCATTCTGAGGGCCGTACCTAGACCACTTAATTGGAGAAGGGGGTGTGTATATTTATGTTTACACGCTATAAGAACAATAGAGTACAAAAGAAATCAGACGGGCATAAGATGAATATATGAACATACACTCCGAATTTAAGCCTCTGGCCACGGCCCTGACCATTCCCTGAAAAGTTATCAGTAAAAATCATGAAAAATGGGAGAGTTCCCTTTAGTTCAACATACCCAGCTCTTTGCAATGCAATTACCCTGACGGTTGACAACTTCAAGATGGTAAACAGAACCATTAAAGGCAACTCCCCAGCATCCCAGTCGCCCACAACTGATGTATTTCGATTTGGGAACACTCATTCTTTTCCAATTTGTTCCAAAAACTTTAAACGGTACTATTCCCGAACGGCAGACAACGTCGTTTCCTAACGTTACTCCAAGAACCACTCCTTCAGGCCCTGAATCGATTTGCTGAAGTTTAATCCCAGGAATTACTTCGAAGCCATCCTTTCCATGTCGCACGGCATTCTTATCTTTATCCACGCCCCATATACCTTGAAATGAAGAGAACAAGAAGACATTAAGAGGGATAATTCTTCATAAACATAGAAATTTCTTTTCAAACAATTAAATCTCAAATTATTTGCCATATTTCAAAAATTGCATAGCGAGCTTCCTTAATCTGGAGTATGAAAATTTTTGTTCAACACCGTTTGCGACCCATCATCCCTGGAGGGCTTATATTTCCTCGGATTTACATTAAGAAATCCGATTGTCTGTATAAGATGTGTATTTTTTGATTCTATGAAAATGATTTAGATACGGCAATAATTTCTTCCAAGCACTCGAAATCCTTCAAAATAGTAACATATAATGGAATAAAAGCATCCCCTCGTATTTGCTAATGTGAAAACCTCGTATTTGCGTATTTGTGAAAATCTCGCGTGCTTCTTTCTACTCACCTGCCCCTCCGACACTGACATGTTTCAGATCAAATTCTGTCTCCACCCAAATTTTGTCTACCCTTAAACGGTATGTCTTGCCATCTCTTCCAATTGCGAACACCGCACTTCTCATGCCAGTGTCAATTTTTTTCATGCGAGGTCCCTCGATTTCAATCCACAAGCCTGCAATATGGTACGTAAATTATTCATCGAGTAAATTTACAACAAACAGTATCTCAAAAATACGCAATTTTATTTCCCGAGCCAGCGATTTCTTCTCGAGAAGGAAACAAGGGCCCATGGGATAATCCAAACCGAAATCCAAATTTTTCGTTTAAAATTAATTATGTATCATAATAGTCGAAAACTTTGGTTTTCACGTAGTACGAGATTGACTTGAATTTTTGGAATGACTAAAAGTCAAACCTTGACTTACTAATTCCGCCCGCAGACTTTAATGATACACCTGGGTATGCAAATGCAAAATTGAAGTTTATAGCCATTATGTCGTGGACGTTGCGCGTTTTAGTAAGTTTTGCGCATGCATTATAGAGCGATATATGTATTATGGACATTATAGAATTACAGTACAATGTATGGAAAACTACGGTCAATACTCTGTGCGTTCGAGAACTAAAGATCTACTTTGAAGTGTTTTTGTTGACAAGAGCTTCGGGGGGTGGGCCTAGCACTTGTGCAAATTATTGCATGACACATGAAAACTGCCAAAAATAACCACTTTGTTTTGTAATGGATTAGTGCTCGATCCACCCCTGAGAGATTCATAAGTGTAGCAGTTTCTCTCTTAAATTGTGAATTTTTCAAGTATAGTTTCCGTTGTAATAATTATGAAACTACAATTCACTGATTTCTTATAGGGACGTTCTCGAATTTTTTTACTGTCACAGTAACGGGGTACAGCCCGTAATGTTCACAAACGCTTTGTGTACATGACTCCGTCTATTCAATTTCCTAAAATATCGAGAACTTTTAGAGTATTTGATTTGCTATATATTTAAATGAATGCGAGAGAGAGTTTATTTTAGAGAAATACAAAACATGCGAAATTTAAGTAATTTTGAAAAAACTGGTCTACTCATTGTTATGAGCAGAACCGATGCGCAGAAGTGACTTTACCCCTCCCCCCCTTAAGTACAGTAAATTAACAGCGAGTTTGAGATAAGATGAACAGTGGAGTGATTTATCGATGGAAGCAGTTTCTTTAGATAAACACAATTAACCATAGACTTACTTCTTTTGTCTCTTAAGTCGTCACTTGTCGCCTTGGATGATCCATAAATCTGGCTACCATCGATCACGCCTGTTACGTCGTTGATCTGTTCTCTATGCTTCGGGTAATCGTTTTGTTGACACATTGCTGCAGATCTTACCAGCTTGATACAAGGGTGATTACCTAATGGCTGGATTGGATAACATGGCGCATCGTAGTTATCTTCCGAACCATCACAGCTGCAAGAGAATAGGATTGCTTTTTGGAAAATAATAATTATATGCTTATGTGGTCATTATACAATTTGGAACACTTTTTGTGTATTTGACATTACCGGCTCTACCCGCATGGTAATCAGATTTATGGAATGGGAGTTTAGAGGTATTCCCAAAAGCTTCAGTTGACTGATGTAATATTATTTAAAATTTGGTTCAGGAGGCTGAGCTAATAAGGTTAATGAGGTTTCTGTTTACTCAAAGACTACTCTGAGATTGCACATATGTACACATGTCCTATAATATTTCGAAGTATATTTATAAATATGTACTACAGATTAAAAATTTAATTATTTTAAAGTACTTAATCTATTGTCTGGAAGAAAAGTCTGTATATAGCTATTGTGGTGGCACGTGAAAGCTATGTTTCTGCTTTTTCCTCTCCGAACGAATTGTCAACTTAAAAACTTTGGACCTTCCAAATACTTGGGTTCGGGATCCTGTGGAGGTCTGTGGTTAATGGGTCACATGAAATTTTACTAGTTACTCAGCTCCTACAGACTCCGAATTCCAAAAAGGTGTACTGCCAAACGTTTATCAATGTGTTTTCTACCCACTTGTTTACATTATTTGACTGCAAATTATTGCGTCAGCATCCGTGACTTCCGCCTTTCCCCATCTAAGATTTTACTTCCGACTGGCGTTTGTGAATCAAAAGCGTCGTATTTTAAACTCATATTATGTAAAGTATATACACATACGTCTTTGCCAGGCATTTCTCAGCTCCCACTTCTTCAGCAGAAAGAGTCAAATCATGATCCATAAACTGACCAAACTGCATCATTAGTGGTGTTAGTTCAGGATCCGTTGAGCTGGCTACTTCATCTTTTATGTACTTATCAGTTACCTCAAAGGGCGAGGGAAGTGGAGGCGCATCAGGTTGATAAGGAAAACCGAAAGGATCGTTTAAGCCGTCTGCATCATAATAAATCTATATGTAAAAAAATATATATTTAAAAAGATAATTTTATGTAATCTTGTGCCTGTCTGCCTGCATGCTCATTAGAATATGGTTTAATTAAATGTCTAAAGGTTTATGCCCATGATCCAATTGCGTTCGATCCAATTCACTTCTGTTGGATGTTTTACAGTCTGTTGTCTTGTAATCTAATGAGATTTTACAACCTTGTGAGAAATACACGGCAGGTTACGCACCATAATTATGTCAGAATACATTTTATGCCGCAACAATGTGGTTGGAAAAGAGACCCGGAACCGAGAAAAATAACTACCTTATGAGCAACGCTATTATCATACAGATTAGAGATTGATTTGACTTTGGATGAGTGATTGAAACTGATGCAAAAAGTAACCTTAACAATTATTTTTTTAAGCTATTCGGAAAGGCTTTTCACGGAATGCGTGATGCATCATATTCCATAATGGGGAACATTGTTACCTAATAATTCTGGGGTTTTTTCGAATGGTATGGGTGTTTTCAGTGACGTACGGGAGACGATAAATGGGGATGAGGTGGGGGCAGCAGATATGCTTATATATTCATGTTAACAGACCTGTAAAGACAATGCATTTGAAAAGAAATTAATCTTGCACAACATAATATTCATGTACGCCACTGGGTGTTTTTATCAGCCTATAATCAGATCAGCGGTCATACACGACCAAAATTTTGGTAGTGAAATAAAATGTGCTTCAGATATAAGTAAAGGTATTTTTGAAGTTGTGTCTTCTTACCGCAGGCAATAGCCGCTCCAACTGTATTCCCGCTCCTCCAGATACAGGCAGTTTGAGGTTGCTGCATTTTCCGTCCAAACGGCGGTATTTCGCTTTCTTCAGGCAAGTCACAGGTTTCGTAGCGATTGCGCAGTTCGCCTCTTTTTCTAAACTTGTAATGATCGTTCTCGAGAAAAGTTCATGTATTTGTAGAAAAGCAAGAACAGCACCTTTTTCAAAGTTTTCCTCTTTTTCTATTAATAAAATTACATTAAATTTTAAGATAAGTATGGTTAAAAACAGCCTAAAAATATAAATATTAAGTCCCATCTATGTCTAATGAGAGACATAGACAAACCTCCTTAACGAACGGTTTTGTAAAAACATATTATCAAGCCAAAATAATTTTTTCTAACATATTCATCTTTTCAATTCATGGCAATCGCCTGTGTGCGTTTTATTTCCACTAACACACTGTAACTTATTACACTTTTAGCTAAAACCTAAGGAAATAATATTAATTCATTACTCAAATTAATCTAGTGATCATTGAACAAAGGAATAAATTTAGCTTTTCGTTTAACTGAAATTACTTATTTGAAATAACTTGGAATAATTCACTCGGAATTATTCAGAATTGAAAGATGTGGTAGAATGTTGTGGTAGGGGCCACGGGAGATCCTTAACTTAGGGGACAAATATTCATATATCTGTGTTAACAGACGATAGAAATTCATAATTTGAAGAGAAATTATAAATGTTTCTTTTTCAATTGTACGTTTTTACCGTCTCCCCCCCCTCCTTTAAGAAGCCCCCGCAGCCTTTTGCGTGGTCTTTAAAATCATTCAAAAAACTTACCAATTTTTTCAATGATAGTTTCGTGGACTAATTCAATCGTTTTTTCGAGGATAGCCTCAGCTTCCGAAATTTCGTGAACTGGATCACCCTCAGCTATTTGTTGCAGCAAAATATCCAAAGCTGCTGGAACAAAAGCTGGCGGCGGTGGAATTCTTTTATCTTTTCCAAGCTCCTTGTGGACTTCGTTTATAGCATCGAATGCAAACTGGTCCCCATAGTGCGTGGGCAAAACAAAAATCTTTACTTCTGTTGTGGCTACTTTGCTCAAGTGTTCTGCCGTGATTTCAAATTCTAACCCGTCCAAATTATTACCGTCTTCGAGCAATTCAAGGTGTCCTGTATCTGGATCGATTCTGACGAGGGAATTTTGCGTATCGATACTGTACTCCGTTCCATCTGGGGCGTCATCGACTGTAATTTTACCAATACCTTCTCTGGTATAGTTATTTGTTAGAACAATTGCGTATTTATCGTGGGAAAATTCAAAGCCTATAACGGAAGGATTGTACGATTTCAAAGAGCGGTTTTAAAAGATGCAAAATTTAGGCATAGTAACGGTAATATGCAATACTAAATAAAAATTATCGAAAATGGAGGATGGTTTTTTGTATTAAAATGGTCAAAAAACTGCTGAACAGTTTTACCTTCAACGCCGATAACCGCCCAACAAGTCAAAATAATTTGTACGAGCTTCATCTGAATAAACCTAGAATCGACAAAGCGAGTGTCATTGGATTATTGGTTTTAGGCGTTTTAGCTTATAATTGATAAAATAATGACGAAAAAATAAAGGTATTTGCTGGCTATTTCAGGGCTGCATTGATCATCACATTGACGGATGTATTAAAGGAAATGGAACCAAAGGTGTGACTAACTTTAGGACGATAATTGGGGGGGGGGGGTTGGGTGAATATTCATATATTCAGTCCTACCTCGTGGATTTCTATTGTAGGCTATTATTTAAAGATTCTTTTTTACAGCATGAATGCGATCAGATTGTGATTAAAACGGTCAGGTAATGCAGTGATGCAGAACTGATCATAATGAAATTCAGCAATGATGTAAAATTGCAATACAGATGAGTACAAGTCGCCTCGTTAAAGTAATGAAGTTGCACAGTCTTTAAATGGTAATAAATCGCTACGCTTCTTCTGGCGAATTCGTCGTTTGATGCAGACGAATATGGGTATTAGGTAATGTGGTTTATTTGAAACATTTTTATTGGGTTGAAAATGTTTGAAATAAAGTGCTTCCGGAGCACAACTCATTCGAATGAACTATTTAAAAACTTGTAATAGCTTCTACTTCATATGTCCCCGTTTGTTGATGATTTTACCGCCAGTGAACATAAAAACCTTCTCATTAGGAACCGATAAAGAACTTAATAACTAATAAGCATATTAAAGCGCGCGAATTGACAATTTATTTTTGTTTCGGAGGTCTCACCTGCAACCATCTGGAACAAATTGGCCAATGATAAAAGAATAAAGTCGCTTCGCGCGAAAAATATCGCTAATGGAAAACCGGCTTTAGACTGAGAAAACTGAGATTGTTTTCAGAATAAAACCTTATATGATTATTAATTTTTGTATATACATATATAACGCCAGGCCTCTATATATACCTCTTGGGGTGCTATCCCTCTGGGGAAATACCGTACCGTGCCTTATGTAGGCAAAATTAGGTAGTAATGGCACTAAATCCGATTATGTGAGTGATTTTTGGTAACATTAAGTTTTAAATTTTTTTTTACTAACTATCAGATTCAAAATTCGATTTTCATTTCTATCAATCAAACGAATTAATTGGAATTATGTTCAAAACTGAAATACACATTGATTCTTTACACGTATTTATGTGGGATGCAAATTTATGCAAAGCGTCTAAAACGTCTACAACGTCACACTTAATTTACCGAATCAGTAATTATGAGTCAATGTTATATTTTAATAACAAGCAATTTTTTAAATCATGTCAAATTTTTACAAAGAATTCCTAGCATGGTAAACTGACAAATTAAAACTGAAGTTTAATTTGGTTTTTGCAAAACTATAGTACCATTCAGTTTGCACGACGCACGCTTGCCAAAAAAGCGATGTGTGTAAAATAAGTACAGTATTGAAAACATCTTTAGAAGTCGCCGCAGCCTTTTAAACGACAACATAAAGGCGATATGTGTGAGTGTGTCACTTTTAAAAGGATGCGTGAATTTTTGCGTAGAAAGTGCATAAACGTAAACAGACATGAGCTTTTAAGGCATAATTATTTTGAGGCCGCAGATATGCGTAAACTATATACGCGGCAATTGACAAAGTGCCAGATTAAACAAAAACCTGAACTGCGTAAGAATAGATCACGCTTAGAGCTAGGCAAGGAAAAATTCAGATTTCACTGTAGACGGGACTACATATAAAATTATAGACACAGTTGATTCAGTCAGTCAGCGCATTCCTATAATATACTCCGGAGTATCTGAGTCACGGTTGTTTCAAAACAGGCCGTGCTGGGTAAACATATAAATACTAATCCAAAATTCTCTGCACAAGTCCTCGTAGCGTTGCAATGCAGCGTCTTACCTCATAGCCCTCGAGGAACCGACTAATGTTGATGAGGCTGAAGCTTCGACGAGATTTCAAGTGCAGATTACGCCCAAACATACATTAACCGCGTAGGCTAATTCGTATGCTACACCATGAAATAATATACAATTACTCGCTAAAATGCTACTCGTCTTGCCGTTTTTATTTCCTAGCCATGTTCTGAAGACAAGTCTTAAGTGCTCTGTCTAAGTAATTAATTAAACTCAACCGGCCAAGCCAGCTACACATTCGCATACATCAATGATCACTACACTGTACCTATATATATAGGTCGTGCTGTGCCAAACATGAAAAAGAAATGAATAGTTAGACATATCATAATACTGTTAGAATGCTTACCAAAAGTTTTTACAATTTGAAGACCACTTATATCTTGATCGTCGCCAAACCTAAAATGAGCAGATTTGGAATGACTTTCCGATTTTGTGTAATTTACCGATGCTTGAAATGACTTTCCACGTTGTGGAAATGATATTGTTAATCGCTTAATTGCCGGAAACATAATGGGTTCTGCTACACTGAGCTCTTATATCCTATATAAAAAATAAACTTTAATAGCATGTAGATTAGCCATAAACAAAAAGTGTTACGATAAGATTATTGTTTATCTGCTATTAAACGCGCACTTAAACTGACGTCGGAACTATACCCTTTGGCAAAATTCAATGTTATTTGTTATCTGCTGAACAAAGACAGGACAGAGTTTTTGCGTAGGTTTATACATATTAAATATAAACACCTTCTACATGTACTTATATAACCTCAGGCAAAACAACATTTAGTTTATTTTTGGACAAAAACATTCATCTAATACAATCATGATAAACACAATCCTTCTGGGGCCTGTTGCTCAAAAGCCGGTTAGCTTAACCCAGGGTTACAGCAAATCTTTACATCGGTTTTTTTAAATAACTTGTTTACAAAGTTGAATATCTTTTGTCATAAAATATTTTCTGTACCGATAGAAGTCATATTTTCTAAAGTTTCAAAACGAACAGTGGTTCAGAAGCACATAATCTAAAACACTGGATTAAAATTTAACCCATGCAGGTTTCCCGGGGTTAGCGCTAACCTAGCTTTGAACAACTGGCCCCTGGGATCATTCAAGATTGATTTTAAAATCGTAAATTACAAATTGTGATCATTCTTCACTTGACAAATACCAAATGATTGCTGTATACCGGATCAATTGCACTCCAGTCAATGCTAATTCTTCAACCATTTTGAGCATAATCATATGAAGCAAAAATGTTAGTTCTTAATGTTATTGAGATTTAAATACTTTTGTTATTAGATATTTGCCGTTAGGACTCGGTTAAACGCTCTGTGTGGACGTCCATTAATTTTAATCCTCAACACATCAAGAACCTCATCAACAACATCATGGAGTTTTTAGCTTTATCATGCAACTAAACGAATATAACAGAGAAATAATAAAGGCACAAATAAATAACTGAGAGAATAACAAACAGTAGAAAGTGCTTTTAAGCTCTATATAGTGAGAGAAAATTTTTAACAATTCAAGAGTGCAGTTTCCTACGTATTTACAAGGTAATATATATATATGCATGATATTTTAAAAACACAGAAATAAACAACATTCCGCTGTTACTCAGTCACTCGTTTAATTACTGGTAGATGTATAATTAAATATATGGGCGCTTTTGCTAGGTAGACCTTTAACTTGGCGCAGGCATTGCGTGCGTCCTGTGAATGCGGTACTCAAACAGGATTCGCTTGAAACGTCATGATAAAGCATGCACTTAACTAAGCCAAATATAATTAAACTAAATATAATTATATGATAAGATAAAATGCATAAAAGGGGGAAATTATTCGAGCATTTAAAATCCCACCATGCAGAGCCTTCGAAATGAATATAAATAACTTTAGTAACTTAGCCATAATATCGCCGTGGCGGTTTACCATTTTTATATAATACACGTGTTCAGGTGATACATGCAACAGTGAAGCTAAAAAACTGCACCTAAATCAGTGAAAAACCTACAGCTTCCAGTTAATTCTTTGATGTTTTTACAAACACACGTTATTCCGCGCATACACACACATTTCGCGGTCACTGGTTTAAATATTGGTAGATATAATGGTATAATTATAGGGACACTTTTTCAAGGCAGACCTTAAACTTGGTACATTGCGTGCCTCATGTGAATGCGGTACTCAGAAAGCATTCGCTTGAAACGTCATGATAAAGCAACTTAACAAAGCCAAATATAATTGAACTAAATATAATCATATAATGATATAAAATGCATAAAAGGGGGAAATTATTCGAGCATTAAAAATCCCATGTACTAGAGCCTTCGAAATAATATAAATAACTTTATTAACTTATAATATTGCCCTGATGCATGGTTTAGCATTTTTATATAGAACTGAATGACACATATAAGCATGCGACAATGAAGCTACATAACTGCACCTAAATGAAAAACATATACAGCTTCCAGTTAACTCTTTGTTGTTTTTATGAACCATTAGGAATTGCATCCCCTATAATTATTATGTTAAAGAAGCAAATGCGAATAAATCTGTGTATAAATAGAATTATAGCATACAAATGCATTTGTTATATACGTGCTGTGTATTTTAATTAAATGAGATTCATTCGTAGTCAAGGAAAAAGTGAAAAAATGTTGCCCGCTTATTGTCATATATAATAAATAAAACAGAAACGCAGCCGAAAACCAAAAAAACAATGTTTTCTCAAGCTTGTCAAGCGATGAAATTCAACTTTTAATACAAAAAAAAAAGATTCAGAAAACAATCGGAAGTCAACAAAAAATGTAGTGGACGAAATCTCCGCGGCTGATTTAAAGACTGCCTCGCGGAGCAAATGTGACCATTCAGTTAGGCGGAGCAAATGTGACTATTCAGTTTTACAAGAAATGACATTTTACAGTTATATTGTTTGTTAGAGGTTTAATCGTTGGCTGCATGCGAAGGCTTGAGAAAGCTTGTTTGGTATATTTTAAACTTAATGAGATGATAAACCTCATTGAACTTCATTATCATCTCATCTATTATTATTCTTGTATGTTTGCATGGTGACATCAATATATAAGCAAATTTTGAAATTCAAATTAGCTGCGAACTTATGGCTGGAATATGACAATTTCCATGTACAATCAACAAAAACGATTTGATAAAACTGTTCGATCTTTTGTATTTACAGAGCTTAGAATGCATTTTATCTCCCAATGGGAACAAACTTTATGTTTTAGGTTAATTAATATAATATGCTTCGTATAGCTATGAAATATTTTAAGCAACTTCTGTCACATTACAGCCGCTATGCGACTAATTTGAATTTCAAAGGAGTCAGTTTTTTTATTCACCCTGTATATTGTTCGAATTGCATTCGAAGCAACCAAGCTGAGACGTTAAGGGCCGATTACATGAAGCGCGTTATCCCGACCTAGCCTGCATGGCAGGCGGTCCCTAAATTCGGGCAAGGCGACAACGGCGAAAGACTGCCTGGCGGTTTTGGCTATGTTTTTTGTCAAACGCCCCTTTTCAGTCCCAGCGCAATTAGCCAATCCACAAACAGTTAATATTATAATAGGAAAACTGTAATATATAACTAACAACTGGGATATATTATTTACCGGCTGTAAGTTTATTTATGAATCGAAGTCCGGTTTTTCGATATATTAATATAATTATTTAAGATTTCAAAAGAAACAACAAAGAACGTTTAAACCAGGACAAGAGGTAGAAAAGCCAGTGTGGAAAATGTAAATGCCACTGTTGTTGTTTGTGCATGAGGCGACAGCTGAATAAATGTCTGACTCTGTCTTGTATATAACGTCGGAGAATTTGTGCATCATATATTATTTATATATTTATAAATACACGCTATGTGAGTGTAGCAGTAATTCTTTTTTCCCAGTGAATTTGCCTGGCATCTTAGATAGTATAGTGAGAATCCTAAAGCCAGTTTTCCACTAACAAAATTTTTCGCACGAATCGACATTTTACTCTTGTTTCAGAGCTCTCAACTGCAACCATCTGGAACAAATTGCTCGAATACAATGGAATAAAGTCGCATCGCGCGAAAAATATCGCTAGTGGAAAACCGGCTTTAAGAATCTGTTTGCGTTTCGACTTTTGAAAATTATTGATTTAGTTTTAGAAGAGCGGAGCGAACGCAATCGACAATAAATTCCGCCAAGACCAGACGCCAACAAATTTAAAAGTTATATATAAAAAAAAAAATATTTACTGTTGATTGACAGCAGATTAGACTCGCAGCCAATCATCAATTCCCGTCCACCAGTGGACGGGTTTGCAAAATACTTAGCCAAACCCGGCAGGCGGTCTTTCGCTGACGTCGCCTTACCCGAATTTAGGGACCGCCTGCATCGGTTGGCCAGGGCGAGTTGTGACATGGGATTACATGGAAAATGTTACATAATTATACTTAAAATTTCTAAGGTTAATTTCTAATACTCAAGAATATCCTTGCCGTATCTTTAACTTATCATCTTTCTGCCGCTCTAAATACTCATCACGATCTTCGGCGTCTTCGATTGGTGTGATACTCTCTGGGCCAAAAAGTGTTGTATCTTCGGAATACTTGGAAGCCAGAATTACCCGTACTGCCTCGTATTGTTTATTTTTGTCAGCATTTAAGTCTGTATTATTAAATTCCATTTGTGTTTTATATTCTATAAGTACATCAAGTAAACTCCATTTAACTTCGTTGCTGTCTGCATTTTTGTCGTTTGCGTTTTCTCTTTGCAGTACTGTTCATATTTCTTTTCGCTATCATGAATACATGTAAATCAACTGACAGAATAATCCATGCACAAGTCAGATTTCTTGCGCTCTGGCGCTCTTGCCGGGTAACTCGCCAAAATGCAATTATACATGGCGAGAAGTGTCCCACCTAAGCGAGTTACTCGGCAAGCGAAAAGCGGGATCCCGCCTAAGCGGGACAACTCGCTTGCCATGTTATCGTAACGTTATTATAATAGGGAATAAGTATACGAAGCGGGTCAACTCGGCAAAGCGAGTCAATTCGCTTAGCCAGGAAAACTCGTCCATGCATGTAATCGGCTCCTTAACCTAGGCTCCTAAACATGCTGGACATTTTCGCCACTGAATCTTCGGACGAAGCCCCACTGGTTGAGACGAAGCCCCACGCTGCTCCTTGTTACGCTGAACATTTGCAACCAATTCTCTTATTCTTTACCTATATTTTTTTCAATTCACATCGAAATCCTTCAACAGCGATTGGTTCATTTAAACCATTTCATGATAAAATTGTAACCGCAAATGGCTTCCCTAGCTGAAAAATTGCTAGGGCTTGCAATAGTGAGAGGCTACTGCCGCTTAAGTGATCGGAACATAAGAGATCGGAACATTTTCGCCACAATGTCGAGCCAACTTCGGAAACACGAGATTTTACGAAGATAGGCAGTGTGATCAATCCATTATATGGTATAGATTTTGCAGCTCAGTGGATATGCAATCCATATTTCCAACAATAAAAGTTTATTGTGAATAATTTTTATGCATGTAACAAACAAGGGGGAATTTCGTTTCCAATTAGCAAGTTTTTTTACATTTTCAGTAACCCAATCAGCATGCATAAATTTTGATAAATAGTACCATATATAGCTACCATTTTACATGAAGTATTAAAAATTTAGGCATCCTGATTGGCTTTGCCAGAAAAATGTAAACAAATGTGGCGATTAGTTTGAAACGAAATTCTTCCTTGTTCAGGTAACACGAATAGTTTAGTTTTTGTTCAAAAGCAAACGTAAACCGCAAATATTTTGACAATTTTTTTGTACAATAAAGTTGGGCACGGTTCGACAACGTATCTTTTACCTAGAAAATTATTTTAGACCATTTTTCTTTTAAATTACAGATTTCTTCATCTGTAAATTTGGCAAAAACAACTCGCAGATATTTCGAAAAATCTGATCAGCTGATTATCGCATAATAATCCGAGGTCGCTCGACCAATCAGACGCCAGAACTTTCAAAAATCACTTTTGCAATTATATACGAATTCATTTCACATTATTAAGCTTATAACGCCATGCCTTGTGGGCCTTTTGGGTTAAAATCACTGATCAATTCACGCTTCGTTAAAACGCTTGATGGCAACTAGCAAGAATTACCCTAAAAAACCATCGTAAAAATAATTAGGCTCAGTTTAGAAGAATCCATCTTTTATTGGTTAACATTTTATTGACAAACTTATTTCACTAATTAATCTAATGTTCAACATATTTCTAATGTTCATTCGTCAAGATTAAAATGTCAAATTCAACCTATTTAGCTACACACTATTAATATTGGTTTTATATTCCACCAGACGTCACAGTATAAGAATATAGAAATATTATAGATGACGACAGCAGTTATCAACACTGGTTAGGGTAAAATATTGACCATATGAACAAAACATTATATATCTGTGCCAACCTATCTTATGTTCTATAAAATTTTTTGAACACTAACGAAACCTCATCAGACGTCAGAGTATAAGAATATAGAAAATTAATATTGCAGATGACAACAGGAGTTATCAACATTGGTTTGGGTAAAATATTGACCATATGAACAAAACATTATATATCTATATATATTTTATCTTATGTTATATATTTACACACTAATAATATTGGTTAAACCTCATCAGACGTCACAGTATAAGAATATAGAAATATTAACAACAGCAGTTATCAACCTGACGTGGAACAATGGCTGTTTCTTGATATATGAGAAAACCGAAATGTAAACAAAATACTTCATGTTAGATTCAGAGTTATGATTAGGGATAGCCTTCTGGTTGCTCATATCGAGAAAGCGTCGAGACATTGTTTGACCATCACGACACAAAGATATCATGTCATATTCATGCAAGGACACAGTGAGAAGTTTATATTGAGAAAACGTTCAGATGTGAGGTTTCACCACAGCATTTGCCCAACATCTTTTTTCTATCATTCCTGGCAGTTCTTTCCAGCTATCTCCACCAATGGTGAAGGTTTCCACTGAGTTGAGAAATCCCTGCTCCTCATTCCATCCACCAAACACGACAATGACGTCATTCAGTATGACAGCTGAGCACCCAGCCCTTTGGCAAATCATGAAGGGCAGTCTTTCACTTCGCCCCGTGTCAGTGTCATACATGATGACGTCATTTAATGCCTGACTATTCGTATCCATACCGCCAAGAATGATAATCTTATCACCCCAAGTGACTGTGGACATATCAAAAACAGGCCGAGGCAACGATGGACATGGTTTGAACTCATTCTTAACCAAATCATAAACAACAACACCGTCAAGAGCATCTTTACTATAGCCGGTGGTTGTTCCGCCCAAGATAAATAGTTTTCCATTAAGCAGTTCTGCTCTGTGAGCATCTCTTGGCCCAGTCATTCTCGCCAGCAACTTTGCAGTATAAGGTGGAGCAAGAGAAATCTCATAAATGGCATTCGATGTTTTTGTATCATTCCCGTCATATCCTCCTATTACATATAATTTTCCTTGATAAACTATGACGTCATGATCAGATAATTTGACAGGCAGTTTACCATCAAACATTGTCCATCGCAAAGGATGTTGGTTCATCTTCAAAACTTCAATCGTTACAGTTCCACCTTCACCATCGAAACCACCAACGACCAGGATGTCATTGTTGTGAACACACGATGCTGATGCTCCTCGACGATGATTCAATTGCGGCAGCATTGTCGACCTCTTCTCAACAATATTATATTTCTCACCAGTATTCAAAGGGGGTGCGTACGCAACAGAATACCAACCACCAAGAATAATAACGTCTTGGTTGTTAGTTGAAATTGTGGGATCCGTAGCTTGTGCACCATTTCTGTCGACAATATTTTCTTGGAATAGTTTGACAAATAATCCTTCAACTCTTTCAAACTTTTGTTTAATCACCTGAAAATCATCCTAAATTGGTAATGAAAAGTCACGGTGTAGCAGCATTATAGTGCTCTGAAAGCTCATAATCAACAAGTTTGAAAAATTTAAAAAAATTGCTTACCTTTATTTCCATTACTTCTTCTTTTACCGCTTTCTGGCTTTGTTTCATTTCATCAAAACGTTCCTAAAGGACAACAGGCGATCCCAGTTAAAACACTACCACGACACAGGAGATGTAAGCAAGTTAAAGGTTAGGAACTTTAATGGAAGGGCACACGAAGTAGACAGGACAAGAAAAACGTACGGAGACCCGAGGGAAGAGCAGGACCAGAAACACACATGTGAGGGCTTTGCTCTACAACAGTGCTTCTCTCCCCTTCTACTAACAAAGTAATGGGAATTGCTAATTTTAGGAAGGTCCAAATTTTTTTTCAAACGAAAAAACATCACGAATCGATAAAATTGTCAATATGATGGTCGAAATAAAAATAAATTTTTTCAATCACCTTCATTCTTTTTAATTCCTCATACATATCATCATGTTTTTCTATCACCTTGTCTCCCTTTTCAGCGAAAAGTCTCGAAATCTTCACAGTTTGAAGATTTTGACTTCCGGCTTGATCCAGAGTATCAAAAATTTCCTCTAGTTTCCTCTCAGTTTCCTCTCCCTTAGAAAATTCTTCATCTTTTATCTGACGGAAACTCTGCTGGTCTTTGCCACTCACTTGCGAGCTATACTTTTCGGCAACCATTGTTGGGCGGTATTCACAACCAATCACGTGATCTTCAAGATCTCGAAGCTTAACATTTTCGGGACACCCTCGATCGTTGTAATCGCACTTTATTCTTAGTTCTGACCAGATGTTTGTTAAAAACCTTTGAGGAAGCTGCAAGGTTTCCAATGTGAGGGGTTTCTGACATTCCGAGCATGTTTGAGACTCTTTAGCAAGGTGTTGTTTTATACAGTTGAAACAAAAGTGATGTTCTCCTGCCTCGCATATTCTTGGCTCTTTCAATACACGGTGGCAAATAAAGCATAGCAAATCTCGTTTAACTTGTAAAATGAAGCGATTTGGATCATAGCCTCGGTCCATTGGTACTTCATTTTTTCTTTCTGAAAAAAATTTAATCTGATGTCCAGGTTATTAGTTCTTCAATAATACGGTATATTTTATATCCTACATTCTAGTTAACAAAAACCCTATAGAATTTTTCCTGTGAATTCAATACTGTCAGATAGCCTTGAAAGCTCATCACTTAGGGGCCAAAATTTTCATTTTGACCAAGGGCCAAAAAACTATACGCTTTTTCCTCCGCGCCCCATAGGAATCCCAATAAATATTTTTGAAATAATAAAAGTTAGCCCAGTTCATTTAAATATAAATTATTAATTTCTATAACATATTTGAGGAAAATGTCAATTAGCCCTCCGGATTCTCGACAAGCACACGCCGTTTGTTTATTTTTTTCACCAATCAGATTCGTTCCTCAAACCGCATTTCATGTCTCGCATCGTCCCACGATATTTTTCAACAATTAAGCCAAGTTTTGCACATTTTTTGTACATTTTTGTTTGTTTCTGTAATAATTTTGTGGAATAATGTTGTTCGGATATCTAAAATATATTTGTGATAATTTATTTGAGGGATTCTCGTTGTTTTCATACGAAACTTTGCTAGTGAATTTCGTATATATGTGAATATTATTGCAAGAGTTTCCATCGTTCTCAATAACTATATCTATATCAGGCGCGGATCCAGCCGAAAATCTGACCGTGTCATATTGGACTAGAAATTTTCCGGACGGGGGGGGGGGTTGTGGGGGCGTATGGCGAAGGGGCTATGGACCCTCCGAAACAAACATTTTCTGAGCTTTGGTTCTACAATATTCTTCAGGGAACGTTTAAAAGCGAATATTGTAAATCCCTGTACTTTCATAAAACCACAAAACCATTTTCAAAATTTTTGGTAAGGTATTTACGGATATTTCATTCACTCAACATAACGTGAAATTTGCATACACAAATTATTCACAGCGTAAATGCAAATTTGTATCATAGGGCGCTTTCCATTAAGCGGCCAAAAAGGTCAGACCGGTCATATTTTAAATTGAAATAGAGTATTTCGTTAAGAATATAGCGGTGAAACTGCATTTCCCGTGTTAGGCAGATGTAAATAACGATATACTTTTGTCTGTACCGACTACCGAAATACAACAGAACCGGTCTGGCCGTTTTTCCGTATAAAGGAGAGCGCCCATAGTTCGATTTAAAACCTAAAAGTCTTACCTTACAAGGACATTGGGTAAAGATTTTCAGTATTTGTCTCTTGGGAAATAGTAGTTTAAAAATTGTCGTTGCGATTGTAAACGGCAACGCGAGCGAGCGAAGCCTGTCTTTAGTAATAATTCCATCATGTTGTAGCCTGAAGAGCGATATTTCCCCTGAAATATGCTCGCTTAGATTTGCTTTTGAAAAATTTCGACGGATTCATGTATTAATGCATTCGATTCAGCCTGAATCAGCCAGGATGCAGCGAACAGACCAATTTAACGTGTTATATATAACTATATCCGAGTTCGAAGTCGAGAAGTGTCGAACTTTGTTTATCATGTTTATTGCGCAATCAAAAACAGGCCACCGTGTCGCACCGTGTCGCACCGTGGCTCACGTGGCAAAAGCTTGCCCTGTGATTGGTTTGCTACACTGCACCGTGTCCGAGCGTTACTATATTTAGTAACAATTGCGCAATAATCTGCACGCTGACCGTGTCAACTAGTTGCTGTGATCGCAGCTTCGAATGCACGACTAGCTTCCGAACATACTCGGCACAATTCGGCAAGCTTTCGGCAAATTTTATAGTTCAGTGTTAACTGAACAATCGTAATATGAAACAAGGAATAATAATTGGGAATTTGTTCCCACTTTTAGCAGGAATTGGTAATAATATGACAACGATTACGAAAGATATTACTCAAATTATTTGTTTTAGACATATATTTCCTTAATTTTTGTGTGATTCAAAGAATTAATATGTACTTTTAAATAATGTGTGAATATTAGATTGCAGATGGGAAATTCTGGATGGGAAAATCTGACCGTGGCTCGAGCCACGTTCGATACGGTCTAGATCCGCGCCTGTATATGCTTCGCGATCCCTGCCCTCACTGAACTGGCAACGAAACTGGACTCACTTTTATAATTTAAAAAATATTTAATGTTTGTTGCACAAATAATTGATATTTTTCTTCAAGTATAAAGCTGCGTTGGCTGTTGGTTCAAGCCCGGAGACGAGGTGAGTCAAAAGGGGAGTGTCCTTTCGTCCGCAAATACACTGAAAATCACGTCCAAAGAAAAAAATTAACCATTTTTCGCTTAGATATTGAATGCCTGTTCGCAGCTTGTGGTGGTCTTATTCTGCATTTTGGAGTTTCTACAGACAGACACAAAGACGACACGCAAAGTCGTGCTGTTCAAATTGTTTTTTATCCATGACACATTTGCATTTTATTGGCATTCCAAGTTCAACTTAAGACTAGAAGTATTTATAATCATAGATTGTGTCATTAATTTTAAATATACAGCCGCGTACGATTTGTTAAAACAGGTTTGTTTTAAAAATACCATTTTTTCACGAGCATCATGCTGTGCGGAAATGCAGCAGCGTAAATTGCAGCATTCCATTTTGATATACATTAGCATTTGTGTTTAGCTACCATTAATGACAATTATCAGACCACACTAGTCGCCTCGCTGTTTTTGAAGTCAGACAAAAATTGCATTGGCCAAATAACAGGTGAAGTTGTTAAATGCTGCTAACTTCGCACACGATATCGCTTAAAATACAAACAACTCCTCATTAGCAATTTCTATAGCGTAGAAATCGCTATCTAATTCGTCTACCACTTCACATAACATCTCGTATTATTACCATTAACCTCTGTCATGAAACCAATACGAAGACAGCACAATATTCTTGAAGCTGTTCAGATGGATCTGACCCCCATCCGTGGGCAATATTCAATGCACCTTAAACGTTACAAGATTGAAATTTAAAAGTTATTACTACATGCACAGTCAATCTTAAGCGTTTACACTACGTGCTTTTACCTGGCCTAGACCAGGCCTGGACTTGGACCTATAGCTGGTCTAGGCCAGAGAATCCAGGCTAACAGCAGAAGGTGGCCTGGACCAGGCCTGGACCAGGCCTGGATCTGACCAGGAGCAAGATTTTGGTAATGGGAACAGGCTTTACGTAGACCTGACAAATTTTTTAACTTAATATAGTGTGATTTGTATAGGATCCATATAGTATTACCACTTTTCGTCGTCTTTTGGGTCTTTTGCCAAGTATTTTGTCAATTACTTTGGCTATCCGATATCATCAACAAGGAAGACAGTGTGAACGCGGCTTTAGACCTAAATTTTTAACGTGGTATAATTTTGTTATTGCACTTCTTTGCACCCTACGAATTAACCTCAAACGTCGCGTATATAACAAGACGGCACAATGCAGCTCATATATAGCAACATTATAGCTACCTGAATTATCGTACTGTGTTTTGGTTCAAGATTCAAACGATCATCCTTCAGTAATCTAGACTATATATTCCACTGCTCTACCTATTGAATTATCAAACCTACAGAGATTGCGAGATGTTATCTTTTATAAAAACATAAGATTTAAACTATTAATCTTCAGAAATCTAGTCCTGTGATGTCCAGTGTTGTACGTACCTGTACCTATTAAACCTTCAGCGGTTGATGTTGAATGATTTCATGAATCGAATTGAAAACATTCCAACATTTAACCGATTCAAAACTAATCAACCGAACAGTTTGATATCAGATTTAAAGTTTGAAAAATAAGGCTATGCAACTAGAATTAGTCAGTCAATCGTTTTGATATCAAGAAAGTGTTAACTTCGTAACCAGCAAACTCTGTCCGTAAAGTGCAAACTGTATGACTTAACGTTTGAATCAATGCATTATCTATGTAATGACGAGGCTGATATTGACAGTGACAGACCATGCAACCTAAACCACACAAAGATAATCAAATTAGACTTACCAAAGATGATGAATTGTGACAGATTTTCACTTTAACATTCTGCAACAGATTGGTGTAACGTCGTCAACGTTATTTTGTATTTAAGACAACACCTTGATATGTCGTAATGTTTATTTTGTTAAACACTCCAGGCTATGAATACTGGGAATCTCGTATCAATGCAATTAAACAATTTTCACATCATAATTGATGGCAAGAATGTTATCGTTCAAGCAGACCATTCATTCAGAATAAATAAATCTGAAGTCTGATATTAAACCACGCAATGTTTGAAGACAGTAAAAATTACGAGATATCAAGGTGTTTAGAAGCAAAATATTGTTGATCGCGTTAAATTGGTTAAAACCAGCTTGTTGTAGAACGCCAAAGTCAAAATATAACATCATTCATCAACTTTGGTAAGCCTAATTTGGTTATCTTTGTGTGGTTTAAGTTGCATGGTCTGTCACTGTCAATATCATTATATCAGCCTCGCTACCAATCACTGCAGGTTTGATAGTTTCACTGGTTGCCACATTTACACTTTACCAGATTCCCGAGACACGAGATCAACACTTTCTTTCAAAGTTCTTGTTAAATTTTATGGTAGAAAATGTGTTCTTATAAAAGATAAGAACTATCCATCAATATTTGTAGGTTTTTTGGTTCAACATGTAGACCAGTGGACTAGATTTTTGATAATT